CCCATCTTCCATGTGGGAGAAGTCTTTTAGTTCACATTGTGTTCACCTCCTTTTGTTGTGATTTAGGAGTATCTTTGAACTTTTAATGCCCAAAATACTGGAGACAGAAAAGAGATTTCTGTTCTGGCTAAAAAAAGAAGAGTGATTAAAAAATTAAAATATTGTTAAGAATAAAAAGTATTTTAGATAAAGGGAATTGTTGCTGAATTATCAGGGCAGTAATAAATCAGGAAATATGGTGTAGGATTGTGTTGGATTTCAAAATCCTTTTTTCTTTGGATATTACTGCCCTTTCTAAGCATTTATTCACTGATGCTGGGTGATGTGTATTCTGTATGTGGGGGCAATGACAATTTTGTTTCTTTTTTAATTTTATCAGAACATGTGAATGACTTCTTTTTCCTACCTCTGAGAGGTGCTTTTATGCTTGGCATTCCTGTTTTCCCCACTGCAGCCCTTTTTTGTACCAGACTCTTCATAGCTGTTGTGGCCAAGAAGTCAACTCCAAATGTGAAGTTTAGGTCACACTTTAATTCTGATTTGCCACCCTGTGAATGAACAAATTTCAGTAGAGTTGCTTCCTCTGACACTGGCACTGCAGTAGCACTTGCCTGGAAGCCTGAAGCAGTTTTGATTTCCATTATTCCATGTTTAATGGAACTTAAGTAGGCTAATCCTTTTCCCCCAAAGCATGCTCCTGCTTGACTGTAAATCTGACTTCAACTTGTTAGAACATACTAAAAAAAATCCAAGGGAAAAGGTTCTTGAAATCAGCACAGCAGTTTGCAGCAATAAATTACTTTTGTCTCTTATCCTCCTATAAACTGTTCTCCAATGTATTTTTCTCAGGGAGTTGAGATAAGCACATTATGTGGGAATACAAAATGAGTAACTCAGTGGAAGCAAATATGTTACAAGCAACATACACCAAAGTGACTTGCTTCAGTTAGCATATTTTGGGTTTGGATTGTTACCAAATAAAAAGTATTTTTTAGGATTTTAGCAGTGTTGACACTTGAATTCTTAATCCTGGTGTCAGTCCAAGTGTTTGCCTTGTTGATCTTCCTGCATTTTTATTGCTGTGACATTGTGACCATAAAGTATTGGAGATAAATACAGATTTCATGTGATTTTATCATTGCCAGAGCATCTGGTCTCCAGCATGGGGTGTAAATGATGCAGTGGCACACAGGTTTAGCAGGAGCACCTTAAAGGCTTTGTTGAGCTTGAGAAAGAGATCAAGAGTTGCTGCTCTGATTTCTTTTTTGGGGTGGCTTTTTTGAAATCAGATTTCTGTGACAAGTTTATATTAATCAGTTTGGTCTTACAAACTAGGTGAAATTAAGTTGTATTAAATAGCACCCTACAGGTTTTTTTACTGGTTTGGCCTTTGGAGAGATCCCATTCTGAGCAATTAAATTGTAGAGAAGATTATGGCAGTGGTGCTTGATCTGCTTGAAAAGGATGTGTGTGTTTATATATCTGTGTACATATGGACAGATGTGTTCTTCAGCTTCTCCAGGTATTGCACAATTACTCAAATTTCCAAGCCACAGGAGGTGCAGCCAAAGGTCTGCACACACTGCCAGGGAGTGTGACAAGCTCACAGATAACAGGATCTCCAAACCCTACAGGGAAGGATTCATCCTCTCTCTTAACTTACTTCTGAATTTGTAGTCAGCAGAAAAAACCTGATGGGTTTTGTTAGATTTCTAAGAGTTCAGCTTTTGTGCCTTTGTATGTATATGGGCTTTGTGCTCTTGAAGATGGGGGCTTTGTTTGTCTAACCCAGAAAATATTCTCATTTCTCTCGTTTAATTATATTAACAATAATAATAATAATAATAAAAGTTATAATTGAGCAAACACAAAAGGCTTCTTGGAAAACTATTCAATTGCCTTGTGACAGTGCATTTAATTACCATTAAATTATCTCTTATGTCTCTTCCACTTAATATTTGCTCAGGCTTTTTCCTTAGGAGGTTGTGCTGAACCTCCTGTGAAATTCTTATCTCATCTCTGCACAGGCATTAGTTCATACATTGATCTGATGCCATCTCAAAGAGAATAGTCAAGCAAAATTAAAGGTGATAAGAGAAGTTCTCATTGGTATTCTAGGAGTAGAAATTGAATATGCTTTTTTTTTTTTCCTTGCTGAAATTGAAAGAAGAACGTGTGCAGGCAGGTTTATGAAAAAAGGGAAGATCCAAGCACCTTTGGCTATCCATAGTAAGGCACTGTTAAATCCAGACCACTGGATTCTCACCACAGGTTTCCTGAAGCTTATAATCTTTTACATCTCACAAAGTTTAAACACTAAAATAAGTAGGTGTACATACTATAAAATACTTCTTTTTCCCCTTCCATTTTGTTGGAATGTGGGATGGTCTTTTACATTTTCTTAGTCAATATCTGGTGTCTGTAGTTGCAGAGTCAAACTGGGAACATGACTGGAATTTGTTAAAGCTCACAAGCTGCAGGGCAAGAGGAGATAAACCCCAAACTTTAAATATTTGGGTAATGTTGCTTATTTATTTATGGACTAGGAGGCTAGCAGCGTTTTAAAATCGTGTTTGCAGGAGACTGGAGATGCTCTTAAACTGTTTAGTTTAACAAATCAAGCACTGGGACTCACAAGGCAAAGAGCTGTGAAGATAAATGAATCCACATTTGATCATAATACACTGGGCCTTAAATTAGCATCATTCCTGTGAGTGGAGGTTTTGTGTGTCAGGACTGAAAAATCACTTTGCTACAGCCAATTCTTCTTGGGGTCTGAATACCTCAAGTAATAGGAGGATAACTGCTTTGAAATTTCCTGGTGATGCAAAATTGTTGAAATGGTTCAAAAAATTGAATTTGTGGTTTAAAAAAAAAAAGAACAGTTTAATGAAATAGAAGTGATCAGTCAATGGGTATTTGATTTGGGTGGATGTAGGGCAGGTCAGCCAAGGGATTTTGTGAACAGCTTCACTTGGTAGGTGAAGTAGTTTGGGCTGTACATGAAGGTAAATTCTCAGGAAAAGGACATGGGAATTTCTGGAATTTGGGTATCCATGTATGATCTGAGCCCATGTTCAACACTTTTTTTTCATTTTGAGGTATCCCACATAGACCTGAGGGTGAGGAGGGCTGTGCTGTTGTCAACCACCCACGTGTGTTTGCAGAGGTCATTTATAACAGTTTGTGCAGCCTGAAACTCCATTCCTGATTTACCTGCCCTGAGCTCCTGTCTGACAGTTTTAGTGCAGGAGCAGTTCACAGTCCTTTCTCATGAATTGAGATCCTGGTGTAATTTATTGCATTTTGCTGTTTATAGGATCACAGAACCATTTAGGTTGTAAAAGACTTGGAATATCAACCACTAACCCAGCACTGCCACATCCACAGCTGAACCATGTCCCCAGGAGCTGCAGCCACACTTTGAATGGCTCCAGAAATGGTGATCCCACCACTTTTCCTGCACAGTCTGTTTCCAATCCCTGACCACCATTTCAGTGGAGAAATCATCCTAATATCCAATCTAAATCCAATTATTTAAAGTTGTGAGCATAATGAAGAGGAGAATTATGGATTCATATTGTGTATACTATTAGTATGGGAATACAGAATTATTATTTCCATATGTGTGTACAAATAGCACACTACATGATGCTGAAGGGCAATTATTCTCCTGTCTCATTAGTATTTATAGGAATTGAATTGAGAAGAGTTAAAAGCTCATTATTTTGTCATATTGAGTGCCTGTATGAATTCAAATGTAAGAAGCTTTTTTCTCATGTTTCAGCTATTGTGATAATTCACTTCTTATTCTTGCACAGTTTATCGTATTTCTTCTTTCATATCTTTCAATAACAAATTAAAACTTTTCATGCAGTTCAGTTCCAGGATGTTTTTAGGGGTTTGTCTGTAGTTTGGAGCAGGAGCAGCTGCCACAGTGGTGCTGAGGGAATGCTGGATGCTCACATGTTCCAAGGAGAATGCAGAGTGGAGAACACCTCCAGCTGTTGGATCCACTGCTGTACTTCCTTACCTCCCAATTTATGCATTTCCTTGCAGTAGTAGTGTGAACTAGTTGTTCTTACAACTTGTCATCACTCACCAAACCCACTTGGTGAAATGTGCTGCATCATCTCCTCTTTGATCCACAAAGTCTCGTGGATTTTTGTGGGATTTCAGGACTCTGCAACTTTAGGATCTCAATAGCAATTTGAGGTTTCATAAGAGGATAGCAGGAACTGTTAGGGAAAAGCTGCTGAGATTTGTTACTGGTGGAAGATTTGCAAAGTGAAGTTCTTGGTAACTGGTTCTGTTCTCTCTTACTGCCTGAATTTTTTGATGTTAGTACTGTATAAATTTCTTACTCCAGTGTGGTGAAATATTACCTAAAAAATAGGATTCTGCCCACATCCATGCTGGTAAATAAAACAAGATGAAGATTTGAAGTGTTTCCTACTGTAGATGATCACCACCCAGTTTCACTCTTGGTTCTTCTTGCTAGTTCAGCATTATTTTATGCCAGTGTGCACTACAGTTTGTACATCCTTTTCTCTTCTGTTTTTATTTTCACTGTAATTCCTAGGCATTTATCAGTTTACTTGCATGATTAGATCTGCCTAGACAATTAAATCCTGTTGACCAGGATGGTTCAAGAACACAGCCTGCCTTCTCCCAGCTGGAATGCAGGTGTAACCATCTGCTCAGTCCCTCTGAATTTTGATTATATTTAATAAAACATAGGCAATATTGACATACACAAGAAATTTTTCAATCAAGTTCTTTGTGGTCAAAATGTGTTTCTTTCCAAAGAAATTTGTGGAGAATTGTGTCTGCTCATTTGTGGAGAATATGAGCACAAATTCTTTTTTCTCTTCCTGGACTTTGAATTGTCATTCCAGAAAATTAAGATGTATTCATTTGAAAGTTGTTGGGGAGTATTTTAGTCTGTGTTGGCACTGAACTGATCTTTCTGTGATGCCTACCTGCTTCTTTTGCTGTAGGTGAAAAATGACTATATGTTAGAAATAGCAGATCAAGTGGACCAGGAAATTGCTTTGAAACTAGGTTGCCTTGAAATCCGGTAAGCTGATAATTTAATTTATTATTCAACATCGTTCTGACAGAATATATACATTAATTTTGAAACTGCTTAAAGTTCATCAATTTCTGACCAGTAGAGTTGAATAAAACATCATAAGACCTTTTTTTGCTGCAAAGCAGTCAGAAGAAAAACTGAATAGACTGTATTGTAACTCATTTCTAGTGATTTTTAAATTAACATTATTTTAAAATTTTAATTAATTACATCTTGATACTGCCTTTTGGGTGAGTTCTTCATCTGAATAATTCAAAGGCATGTAGAGTACATTGAAGTATGTTTAAAAAAAAATGCATCTGTGGTGTTATTTAGTAAATAGTCTTGTGATTCTGCATATATAAATCCTGCAGCTAAAGAATGTAATTATAGATAAATGTTGCTACCTTTCCTCTCTGTATTTACTCGGTTTTTAATGTGCTGTTTTGAAATGATTAAATCTTAAGGATCCTTTTGGGTGTTTTTGGTGTTCTTGTCAACTGTATAGACAGCTGGAAAATAAAGATAAATATATCAGATTAACAGATCCTTGAGAGAGTTCCCAGCTTTGAAATGCATGTGTTGGGTTTTTGCTAATTTATGGAGAATTTCCAGCCTGAAACATTTGCTTCAGTTGTACTGATGTCTCACACAGGGAGATTAGAGAAGAAGTAAAATTGATAAGAAATTAATGACAAATGTAAACTTGTTAGGAGAGAATAAAAGTGTCCTTTGAACAGTACTTTTCCAAATTAAAACAAAATTTAGGTTTATGAAATTTCCCAGGTATCACAGGAGTACCTGATGCCTTTGTTGTAAGTTTTGCTGGTAGCCCCAGAGAAAACAAAAATTCTTTGTGTAACTGCAAACTCTTTATGCACTTACAAAATCATTGTGCCTTTTTTCAAAACATGTGATGAATGTAATAATCTGTGATTATGTTGTCAGCCAGGTCCTGCCTTCCTACCTCTCCCTGCCTCTCAAGCTGTGGCTCTTCAGAGCATTTTGATGAGCTATTTCTCATAGATGAACTTGTGAAACTCTTAGAATGAACATTTCTGGTCCATTTTTTTCTGACAACGATGATCTCAGCCCTCTCCTAACAAAGCTTTCCTGTTTATTAATTTACTTGTTAATGTGAGCATAGCTGGATTGGAGCAGTTTTCATCATTCCCTGCTTCCCCTGCTTCTCCCTGTTCCATGCACAGGGGGCTCTCAGGAGGAAGTGCAGTGTGAGGTGGAAAGGAGCTGCTCAAGGCCAGGTTAGGTCACTTTTGGTAGCAGCAGTGGTTTAAAGTGGTTCTGAAAATGCAGTTAATTTGTAACATAAAAATCTGATCTGTTGAGGTAGAATAATAATGTACTTCATACTTAGCTTTGAATTCATTCTGCCAATGTTATGTGATGCTGAGTGGAAGTTTTGATTATGTTGATGTTGTAGTTTTAGGCTGAATTATCCAATAATTGTTGCTTTCAAATATTTTTCCTGACTTCAGGAGATCCTACGGAGAGATGAGAGGCAATGCATTAGAAAAGAAGTCCAACTATGAAGTGTTAGAGTAAGTATTGTGCTCTAGCTTGAGGTTTGAACTGTCCCTTCTCTGCAGCAGGAACAATAAATTCAGTTCAATGACAGAACATCTCTATTGTAAGTTTTCTATTCCATCAAGGTGGTTAAGATGCTTTAATGTAAGAAATGGATGATGAAGCCCATTGAGATGTAGAAGTAGGAAAAATGCCTTTAACTCTCCAGAGAAACAGGTTTGGAGTAGTTGAAACTTGATCAGGAGGCTCACTGTGGTTTTCAGTACTTTTGCAAATGTTTATGGGATTCACCAGCTCTGATAGTGAGGTGATTTTATTGCTCAGTGTTTTTCTGTGCCCAGTTGCATTCTTCAGCTGTGACTCATTTGTGGTAAAGTTTGAGTTACTTGAAAATGTTTGTGATATTGTTTTTGTTTCTGTTTGCTCACTGTGGGCATTTTCTGAGATGTGACCTTGCAATTAGCAAGGTTATTGTTTATCTATCCCAAATTTTAAGAAGCACAAGGAGCATTCTCGTAATGAAATATTTTGTTTATTTATTCATGTTGTACAGGAGATAGCTTCAGTGCAAACAAGCCAAAGTCCTTCAGCTTTTTAGCAAAAAACCTGAAAACTGCTTTTATTTGTATTTGTATAGTGGATAAAGTTTCAGACATACATGCAACAATGATGTGCTCATCTCTGCTAATTACCCTTGTGAAAAGATCCTGTACAGTTTTACACAAAATTGGGATAAAAGGTTCTTGCAGCAGTGACGTCTCCATTTTTTTCATCTTATTTTTAATGACAAATTAATGCTAACTTTTAGAGATGTAAAATTGGAGCATTTGGAGGAGGAATGTAAGATTTTATACAGCAATGAATAAGTTTACAAGGATTTTTGAGGGATCTATGATATTACTAGGTAAAGATAACTTTGATGGATAGCCTGCTTATTTAGTATTTCTGTAGTGCTCCTTTATTTATTCATATCTTTTAAAACTGATTTTGTTTGAATTAGAGACTTTTAATTTTTTTAAGGACTTCAGGTTTTTGTCTATCAAAATATTCTATAGAATACTATAGTGTAATTTCTATAGAAATATTAGTAGAAATCTTCTGGTTGAGGAAACACATCACAAAATGAGAAAAGACTAATAAAAATAAAGGGGATGAGCAGATAGACAGAGCTAAAAGGGGATATAAAAAAGATTTGAAAGTATGTGAGTTATGGTTGGTGTGGTTTACATACATAGGTTCAAGTAAGAACTTGAGTAAAGTATTTTTAAGTCAATTTTTTAGCAAATCAGAAACTACAAGCGTGAGTAATTAGGTTAATGACTTTAGAAACAATGAGACAAAGGAAAGCAGGGTCATAACAGGTCACATAAAGTGTAAATTAATAATGTAACAGGTGAGAGTTCCAGAAGGATTCAGTGTGGTGCTGCTTTCAGTTTAACAGTGATTTCTTTCCTTCAGTCTGTGTTTTCCAAACAGTGACTGCTTTGGTAGGAAATAATAAATTGCTGCTGTGAAAGGCATAGTGAAACAAAGCCCTGATATGCAAAATGTAACAGCTTAATGCCATGTGGACTTGAATGTGGAGAATTGTGCATTTCAAAAGTTTTTTTCTTTTTTGAGGACCAGGATGTAATTTGTATGGGATTTAGCTGGGAGAGATGAAGGATAAAACCACCTTAAACTGACTATACTACAGATAATTACAAGCTGGAAAGGGTCTGCAAAAAGTGCCAGTGATCCCCAAAATGCATTAATTTGATCTTATCACCTTAATAGCCCATAAATGTTTAACTGCACAAGTAATATTTATTGCTCAAGTGATGCTTTTTGGTGTTTTTTGTGGGGGGATTGCTGGTTTTAGTACATCATGAGGCACTTAACCAGCTGAGAGCAATTTTTAAATGGCCCTTTTTTGCATTGGGGGTGATTGCTCCTTGGCTGCCTTTGTCAGATGTCTATTTCATGTATTTTTGTCTTTGATCAGATTGTCATATGAGAACAGATCTGGATGGGGAATGGTAGATGGGATCAAATTGTTAAGTAGCCTTTAATAGTTGGGCCTTCATGGAGTGAAAGAAGAATTTTTTCATGATAAATGTGAAGCCTGTTAGTGAGAACAGGGATAATTACAAGTACAGAAATGGGAGCTGTAGGAAGGAACAGGTGCAGCCACAATTTGGTAAAAGGCATGTTAAAGTCTATTACATTAATCTAATGTTACTTTTTTTTTTGTTATAACTTGAATTGAGGTGGAAAATACATGATATATGCTGCCTAAAGCTGCTTATCATTGTAAGACAAGCAGTATCACCTACCTGTAGTTGGTGTTTTATTAATCCAATTGAAGTTTGTACATTAAAAAATTGAACTCAGATTTAAGCCCACAAGTAGGCTGGAGTAGATGAGGTTAAGTACAAAGCTGTAGTAGAACTGCATGAACAGGCTCTCAGTGCTGCTTATCTCTAGTTGGCAATCAGAAACCAGATGGCTGAATCCTCCATGCAGAGCCCTGAGCTGGTGTCTCCCTTGTTGGCCATCCCACCCCCACACAGCACAGCTGGGAAGGGGTTTGTAGGGCTGTGTGTGTAAAGCTGTTTGTATGCATTGTATTCCAATTTCCAGTGTTTATTCTCTTGTTTATAGGTATCCATCAGTTGTTTCTGTCCAGGGCGTTAAATCTGTGTGGTTCTTTTTGTTAAATTCTCCTCTAGTAAATAAATTTGCTGTCTCAGCTAAATACAGGAAATGCTTCATTAACAAGTTTTGTTAAGAGTTGTGCTCTGTTGTACTCTGCATAAGAATTTCTTCTCAGTTTGTGGCTCCCAGATCTGTATAAAAGGCTGCTCAGCTTGTCCTAGTAATGAATCAAATGAGGCTGTGGCAGCCTCCCTGTGCTGCAGGACTGTTAAAATCAAGGATACCAGGGTGATGGGAGGTGCTTCATTTCAGAAGCACCGACTCTCTCTGAAATGCTTAATGTTAAACTAATATATCCCTGTCAAAATGTCTTTGCATATTTTTTAGATGGTAATAGTGTGTTAGATTCATTGAACTGTGTGGGATAATAAACCAAGTATCATTTGCATTTGAGAAGAAATGCATGGAAGGAATTAACATTTATGAAGTTTTATAATCCTGCAGCTTACTGTCATTGCACAGATGCCAGTGCTGCACATGAACATTCTGCTCCTCCTGCTTGAGGATGTTTTTAGTATGAAATTGTATGCTACTCATCTTCAGAGAGCTTTCAAAATACCGTGGTTTATTCTTCTGAGTGAGCTTTTTATATTGACTTTAGTGTTGGCTTTGTTCTTGGGCTGTTAGGTAGCAGTAAATAAATCCTGAATATCTCTGCCTGCTAACAGCTTCTCCTTGCTTTGCCAAGTGTAAGAATTCCAGATGTATTTCTGTGGATGTTCAAAGCATGCACTCGTGGAAAGCTCACTTTCATACTTGTTCCAGAAGCAGATAAGAATGTTTGAAAGAGATGGTAACATCCTAAATTTAAAGGAAAAAAGTCAGTAACACCTTTGAGCTATAAATCCTTTTCCTATTTATATTTTTCTCTTATTTTTCCTTTTTTACATGAGAGTCTTTTACACTTGGCTGTTCAGTGGTGTCTTCTGCACTAATGTCATTGGCAACTTCTCAAGCACCTTTGTTTGAAGCTGATGTTCAGTAGTAGTGACACAAACACATGTCAGACATAAGCTTGTGCAGCACATCAGAGCATAGAATTATTTACTGGCTCTGGTTTTGAAACCAGGACTGCAACCCAATTTATAGGTGTGAACGGGAGCTTGATAAATTCAGTTTGCAAATTCTGAGCTCACAGTCACCTGATTTACAGTGGCAAAAAGTGAGAGTGCTTGCAAGAAAAAGTTGGTAATTTTAATTTGCTCAATATGGGTATAAAATAATAGCAGAAATTTAAACAACCCCTTAATTACAGTGCTTCAAAGGGTAAAACAGTAGTGGAATTGCACTCAGCATGCTTGGAGAGGTGATACCATGAGTATTCCTTTATGGATTCCTGGATTCCTCAGGCCAAGTTGGGGCTCTGAGCAACCTCGTCTAGTGAAATGTGAAACCTGGTCTAGTGAAAATGTCCCTGTCAACTGGATGGTCATTAGGGTCCCCCATTCTAGAATTCTTTTTCTGTTTTCTGCTCCATTCTAATAGAGGTTTTATCAGGGTATTCCACTTCCATGTTGTTCCCTTCTCACCTGACTACATGTTCTAAGAATATTTCTATATTTCTGTATGCTTGAAATTATATGCTATTTCTATATTTCATATTCATATATGCTTGAAATTATTAAAACATGTACAAATAACAGTTTTTATTCTCAAAACTCCTCTGTGCCCAAGCCACCATTTCAAATAACAGACCTTCCACACAGGTACCAGGTTAAATAATAGTAGGAATATAACAATATTTCTACAATTTCAACAATATCCTCAGTATCCTGTGGGGTTTAAACTAGAAGATGCTGCTGTGCCACATTTGATGTTGGAGTGGCTCTAGTTAGAATTTTAATGGTAGTCTGTTTGTTACTCTGAAGTTTTCAAGGACCTTGTTATGAAAATGGTTTAGTAATCATATATGCTAGTTAAAAACAAAACAAAAAATAGACCCAAAGCACCACCTTGAAAAGAGAAATGTGACACTGCACAATGTTTTTGGTATTAATGCTGTGTGTATTTTTTCTTTCAGGAAAGATGTTGGTTTGAGACGTTTTTTCCCGAAGAGTTTACTAGATTCAGTGAAGGTAATTACCGTCCCAAGCAATCCTGTACTGCTGTAAAGTGTCAGAAATCTAAAAATTGCATTATAGTTCTCACTGTACAGTCCTAAGGGAATTGCTGTGCAGTTTTGCTTTGTGAAAAAACATCCAAGCTCTCTGTGGGATTGGTGGGATGTGAATCCCAGTCATGCAGCTGGCAGGACAAGGATAAGGTAAAATTCACACAGCCTTGCTGAGCTGCTGTGAGAAGGGCACAGCTCTGCCTCTCAAACCTTGGGGGTAAAAGTGCAGAACAAGTCCTTGGAGCCTCTTGGATCAAATAACTTTTTTTTCTTTTCCTTCCCTAAAAGAAAAATTAGACTTCTGGAGAAAGAGGAAGGGAACATGTAAGAAAAAAGAATATTTTACTGGGAACTTGATAAACTTGATGCCTTCCTTCCTCAAGACTGTATCCAACTTATTCAAGGAAGATTTCCAGTAATTTCTGTTTAGGTTAATCCTAGCTAAGACTATAAATGTTCCTTGAATCTCACTGCCATTGAAGTCCATATGTTCTCAGAGTAAAAAATGCAAATTTGTCTCAAGTGTGTTGAAAAGGGGGATTAAGAATGGTCACTAAGTATTTTACATTTATAGCCACCTCAATATGAATGTCCTGGTAAAATGTCTCTTACAATTCATACATGAAAGTATAAATCAAAAATTGCTATTTTGGAGCTGGTTTTGGTGAGCAGTGGAGCTTTATAGAAATAATAGAATTCAACTTGAGATTTGGAAAGAATCTGCATTGTAATTTAAATGGGTAAACACAAAAGGTCTGTCATGACAAGGTTTTGTTTCAAAAGACTTTTGAAAATCAGAAGCTAATGAAGTCAAGTGGATTTAAGTAATCCCCTCTGCATTTTAATTTAAGCAATTATCTGAAACTGTATTTTCTGCTAACGGGAAAAATTGTGGTGAAAGACTCCAGACGTACAAGTATGAATAACTGTCTCAAAAATAGTATTATGGAGCCAGAAAACTGACTGACCAAGAAAACTGCACTTTGGAAATCCTGAAGTGGGGAGAATAGCAGAAAGAAGTAGCAAGAGTTGCCAGAAGGTGAAGCTGAGTGGGAACCTTGTAAAGACATGAAGAAAAATGTTGGACATATGAAGAAGAAAAACAAGGGAAGAAATGTGTCTGCTTTTCAGTGAAAATGAAATCCCTATTCAGAGTAGTACAGGATCAGTCCAAAACCCTAAATTGCTCTTCCACTTGGTGAAAGGCAGGGAATTTGAACTGGCAGGAAAAGGAGGGGTCCCAGTAGCCATGAAATATAAAATTAATTATTTCTCTCAATTCTCTCTGCTTTGAACAAACACAGAGGGGGAACAAAACAATGGTTCTTAGAAATACTTTTAAGAGCAGGTTTTCAGTGCATTTTGCTTGAAGTTGCTCTTTGCAGATATTTCTGATAGATGCTTCTGTTATGGAAGAGGTGTGGTTTTGGGGGGTGTTCAACCTGGAAAAGAGAAAAATCATGGGGAAACCTGAGAGCTCCTTCCAGTGCCTAAAGGGGCTGAAAGAGAGCTGGGGAGGGAATTTGGACAAGAAATGGAGTGACAGGACACAGGGAGTGCTCACACTGACAGAGGGTGGGGCTGGATGGGATATTGGGAGGAAATTCTTCCCTGGGGGGGTGGTGAGGACCTGGCACAGGGTGCCCAGAGAAGCTGGGGCTGCTCCATCCCTGAAGTGTCCAAGGCCAGGCTGGATGGGGCTTGGAGCAGCCTGGGACAGTGGAAAGGGTCCCTGCCCATGGTAGGGGGGTGGAACATGATGGAATTTCTAAAGTCCCTTCCAACCCAAAGCAGCCTGTGACTCTAATGGACTTTCTATCTTTACACCTTGCTCATGATCTTAAAATTTAAAGTGACCAATTCTTCTTAGTGGACTGAAAAGAGCCAGATAACATGTGCCAGTGTTCCTGGCAGGAAATGTGATACTGGAATTGGTCAGGAACCATGGGCAGAACCTTTAATCAGCTGAGTAGCTGAAATATTTGGGACACCTTGAGCTGGCAAATGCTTTTTTATTTTGTTGTGTCTTGCTCCTGGTATTTGCCAGTGATAAGCTAAGGCTGAGGTTTGCACTTGCCTTGAAGTTGGTTTTCTCTGTAAAAATAAAGATACCAGGGAGCTCCAGTGTGGAGTGTCTGAGTCCTTACAAGGCCTGAGGCAGCTCTGGGTGCCCGAGGGAAGTTTCCTGACTGCCAAAGGCTCTGCAGCCTCCTTAATGGTCCATCTGAGAGTTGGGTCTGCTAAATCGACAAAAGCACTTGAAATTACACCAAAGTTATAGATTTCTTTGTTAATTTGACAGTATAGCATGTGCTGAGAGGGCTTTTTTTCCCAACCAGTGTATGCATCATTGCAAAACTGATCATTTTGTGAATATGCAACAGCTTTGGATTACTGCTACTGGAGTAACTCCTAAACATTCCACAGAAACATTTCTGGCTATTTTGACTTCTGAACGTTCCGTAAAGGCTTTCTAAAAATGAGTGTCTAATCTGCCTGGAAGTGCTAACGACAAAAGGAAGTTGGTATTTGTGTAGTGCCTGGGGCTGTTAACAGGCAGTGTGGGAGAATAAAGAGTTTTACTGCTGTTAAAATGGGACATTCAGATATGTTTGCATGGAGGAACAGTGGTAATTCCTGTCTTAGCCTTGACATATTGCAAAGATAAGGATGGTTTTGCTTTCTGTCATTGTTGGTAGTTGGAAGATGACTTAGAACTGGATTTTTTTTAGGCCATTCAGTCACTTTAGACATGAGTGTTTTTATTCACAATTCTTGATGGTTTGTTCAGATTGAGGGCATCTTAGAGATACTGCTTCTCAGGCCCTGGTTTTATTTTTATTTTCATATGAGTGGCTGCCTTTCAGGGATTATACATTATGTACAGGCAATAATTCAGTTTTTTAAAGTGTTAGTTTAGCTATCCTTTGTGCTGCTATAAGTGATTATTTGTACCCTGAAAACAGGTAATAAAGTGGTAGACAACATAGTTAATATAGTTTAGTTTAAAATTTTGCTTTACTTTTTACATTCAGTCTACTATTTAAATTTAAGCTATTTATATTGAAAGAGGTTTTTTGCTTATTATCAGACTGAAAGAATCCACTTTATTATGGATAGTCTAAGTTATTGTGTGCAGAGGTTAAGATACAGCTACAGCTGGCTTGTTATTGCCAGGTAAGAGAGAGAATGGTGGTTTAGGTTTAGAAGCTCATATGAAGGTATAAATTGTTTTGGGTTTTTTTGTGTTGGGACACAGTTCAGAAGTTGAGAGAAATGAGGAACTCTAGAGCAAATATTCCTGGAAGGGTTAACATGTGGTTTTCTATTATAACTTATTTAAAATGTTATTAGATACCATCTCTGTGATACAGCAGAAATAATGTTGATCCTAAGCAAAAGTTAAAAGGCAGAACTGCTGCTTACATTCTGAAGCTTTTTTTATTCCTTGAGAATTGTCTGCATTTCATTGATAAAGACAGTGTTAGTACTACTAAGTGACCAAAACTCTTCAAATATCCCTCAGCTAGTAGATTTTAAATAATTATTCTCCAAATGTTTTAATACACAGGCCAAAACACTACGGAAATTAATCCAACAAACATTTCGACAATTTGCCAACCTCAATAGAGAAGAAAGTATTTTGAAGTTCTTTGAGATCCTCTCTCCAGTGTACAGATTTGACAAGGAATGCTTCAAATGTGCTCTTGGTGTAAGTAGAAGAATGTGACAGTCATTAGAATCCATTCTGGAGTTTTCAGTCCAATTGCTTTTGCTTGGTTCTGCAATAATTTTTTGCTTATTATTGCTCCTTTTTTCATGTAGAGACAATTGGATTTCATTACCAACAAATGGTATTTATTTATTTTCTTTAGAACTTTCTGCATTGACTGTTTAAAAGAAATCATAATTCATTACTTGGGTAAGAATTGTATGTAAAATAAAATATTTTTATAGGTGCTTTTTTGTGAAAATCAAGCACTTTCTCAGTTGTTAATCTCTACCTATTTCAAGCAAATTTTGAAGAAGGGTCCCAAGTTTGTAAGGTTTGTGAAAATGGAGACTCCAGCAGAAATTAGAACTTGAATATCAGTGTTCATAAGAAGAGGAAATACAGGAAATCCATAATTCTCATGTAGACCTAAGATAAAATGCATGGAAATGCAGTTTGAGTAGCAGAGATCCCCAGGAAACCTGTCATGGGGGGTTTTGCCACTTACAGAATTACTTGATTTTAGTATAATTTTGTTTGAAGAGTTGAAAAGCTTCTAGATATTAATTACTAAAACCTGTAATTACCACATTGGATTATAGTATTCAATAGCAAGGCCTTGTCTTATTACTGAAATTCTGCCCTTTCTCCTTTGACTCCCAAGTCAAGCTGGATTATTTCAGTGGAACTGGCAATTGGCCCAGAGGAAGGAATCAGTTACCTGACAGACAAGGGTGCAAATGTAAGTCTGCTTCTGTTTTGTGGTTTTTTTTCTCAGTCACTGTGTTAACAACCATGACCTCTTGTGAACTGGATGTCACAGAAAGGGGAGTGACCAGGCTGATCTCTGGGTTAACCACAGCAGAGCTGGGAGCTCTCAGCATGTACAGCTCTTGTCAGATATTAATTTGTGATTTGGATCAGAGGAAAGGCTCTGGTGTTAGGTACAAAGACTGTGTCTGCTTTAGCACTGAGTTTTTTGGCTTTTCTACCCAGTGAAGTGCTCAATTGCAGAATTTGATGCATTGGTGGGGACTTTTTACCAATGAAATGTGAATTATTCTGAGTTGTTCTCTTTCTTAGGAATGTGTAAATGCAGAGCTTGTTTAACCAGTTGGTGAGCACATCTGTGCAGGCACTGCTTATTTACTTTCTTCATATCCTTCACAGCCTTTTCCTTACTTGATTCCAGCTGTATTTCAGTGTTTCCTGTGCACCTCCATGGTGCTAGGGAGCTCTGTCCAGGCAGATCCTTCAGCAAAATGTTTGGGAACTTTACAATCCCAACTTAAGCTAAGCCCATGTCCACCCTTCTATTGAAATGAATTCAAAAGCAGTGAAAAGATGGGGAAATCAGGAACACAGAGCTAAGAACAAACCTTTTCCAGCAGTCTGGAGGGATGCTGGGAATGTGTCAGTGCAGGATCTGTGTGCTTTTAACCTGTTGAGTTTTCTCTGTTGACACCCAAGAGGTTGTTCCCACTTCAGAGCGTGCCTGGCACTGCTCAACAGTGACCTCTGTGGGCACAGTGGAGCTGGGTTCCTTTTCCAGCCACTCTGGATGTTTGTGTGTGTTGGGAGTGAGTGGCAATGAAACTCTAGAAAGAAACAGAGAACAGATTTCTGCACATGTAATTTGGGGATCAAAGTCTCCCTGTGCTTTTGCAACACCAGGGATTAAGGCAGGCTATTTTGCTGTAATTTTGGGGTTTTTTCCCTCATTTTTTGGTGTTGTCTTTCTGCAGCCAACCCATCTAGCAGATTTCAATCAAGTGCAAACCATTCAGTATTCAAACAGTGAAGACAAGGACAGAAAAGGGATGTTGCAACTCAAGATAGCAGGTGCACCTGAGGTATGTTATTGATATATATGTGGTGATAAACTTGATATTTTGTTTTTCCTTGCAAGGAGTGGGATGTAGCATACTCCTAATGTGGATATTCTCTATATTGGACTTTTGTTCTGGGTTTGGTTTTAAAATAAATTTAAAGTTCATTCATGTTTTATGTTTTGCATCTGGTGCTTGTAGACTTTGATGCTCACAGAAGAAGCTTAATATGAACACAGTAGCTCTTAAATGCAATTTAATAGCAGCCTGTGCATATGTACTGTATCCTAGAGAGGAAACAGGGAAATTCCACTTTTATGTAAGGACAAAATAGAAAAGAAGGAAAATTTGTTCCCTTGTATTACATGGAAGCAGTGCTGGAAGTGAAATCAAATCTTTTCCTTGGTCCAGTGCACCAGAAAACAGTGGAAGAGCAGGATTGAGGGAGGGTGGCAGATCTGTGCAGAGAATGATGAATGTTGGTGCTATTGAACTTTATAGCTTGCCTGTATGTCTCTCATCTCTTTTTCTACTGTACATATTTTATTTTTTTAAAAAATCTTTCTTGAAATTGGGAAGGGCTGTTTTTAGACAAAGAACAAATTGCTGCAGAGGGTGGGAAAAAAAGATTCCACCTGTGAGAGCTTCGAGGAATAAGCAAGTTCTTCAGAATTGTCTTAATTACAACCCTGAAAGTCATAGCAGTTGTATTCAACAGTGGTTTACACTTCAGAAGCCCAAATTAACACTACATTAGGTGGAGGGTTTTACCAGCTGTGCTTTCTGAACCTCCTGTTTGAAATTTGCTGCACAAAAGCTCAAGCAGGAATCTCCCTGCTCCCCCACATTGTTCTGTTTGAGCTTTGCAGGCGTGTGTAAAGTTCTGATGCAATGACACAGCTGTTCCACTCAGTGGCTGCAACTGCAATAATTCCTCTTTGTTGGTGCCTTGTTTTTTTCCCTTCTGTAGCCTCTGACAGTGACAGCACCATCCTTAACCATTGCAGAGAACATGGCAGACCTGATCGACGGCTACTGCCGCCTGGTCAACGGCGCCACGCAGTCCTTCATCATCAGGCCTCAGAAAGGTAAGGACACCTGCAGAGCTGCTCCCAGCTCATTCTGCTTTGAATACAAGACAGAGGTAGCAGAAAAACCCTCACTTGGAAGCTCTTTTCTTTCAGGGAGCAGCCGTGAGAAACGCTGATAGTAAATTGTCACTGCATCAAAAATTGCTGAGTGACTGAGGATTTAGGCTGATTCAACAATCACTGCTTTACACTAATTGCAAACTTTAATGGCAGAAGTGAATTGTAATTATTAAAGGCACTTCCTTACAAGGGTGTGTTATCTTACAACATGAATCCCAAAATACAAGGGGAAATTCAGTGAAGTTGATTAAAATGCATTTGGATAAGTGGTAATTTTTTAGTTTCTGCTTTTCTGCTAGGTACTCAAATATCTCCATTTAAAAAATAAAAACCTTGAGAGGTCTCATGAGTTTCTCTCATAAAATAGAACTAAAGCAGAGATACATTTTACAGTGACTATCAGTTGTTTTTGTAGCATCTTTCAAGAAGTGAGATGAGGTTGCAGGTACCCCTTGTTTTAGAAAGAATTTGATTACATTTCATTAGAATTGTTTCCAGTTTCAGACAGCTTTAATTATTGAAAAACATGCAAGTGAAGCTGCTTAAGAATGAAATTTTCTTCTTTCATGTTGTTCTCATCTTTACCCATGGGATTCATCCAACTTTGCTGCTTTCTAAAACAATAAATTATTTCCTTCTTCCATGTTTGTAGTACAGGAAAATACACAAACTATCCCAGCATCCCTCTGATGTGAAACTGAGTCTCTTTTAGCCACATTCTTGCTTTTTTCTGCCACAGGTTTTCCCTGGGGTGATGTTATTAACATAATTCAGGTCCATCTATAACATCCTCCCTGTATGTGGCTCAGAAAATCCCCAAACTCAAACTTGAGCATTCACTAATAAAGGAATGTGATCTTAGGGTCTTAGGTGTTTTGACAGCACATGGTAATTGTTCAGATTATTCTTAAATTTGCATGGTTTTTGTTATTTCTGACCCTTAGTGTATGTGAATGACCTTTAGCTCCAACACAAGCAGTTTTGTTAGAAGCTGTGTGAGTTGTGCAGCCTTATCTCCACACAAATTAAAATCTTCCCTCAAGACAAACTCAGCTCTCCAAGCCACCCTGGTGCACAACTTGGTGATGATGAACCATTGGCCCCAAAATCAGACACTAAAAGGATAAACTAGCATCTGAGATAATAATAGTTTATTTTCTAAAAATAAAATAGGCATCACAATCCAAGAATTCCATGTCACTAGACTGATGTGTCCCTGTGAGTGGAGGTCTTTTGTGCCTCTTCTTCTCTGAGAAATCATGGTTGGGGTCTGCTACAATCCTTATTATTCACTCCCAAAACTTTCCTTCTAATGCCAGTGGATTGGCTGTTTCCCAGCCTGAACTGTTGTAGCCACAGTTGATCTTTTAAAACTTTTCATGTCTATACATGACCTCTTCCTTAAATTAATGGATGGCTCTGACTCTGTCTCTGCTTTTGCTTTAGGGGCACATGTGGGCTTTGTCCAGTTCTTGCCACTTCCACACTGGTGGTGGTGTCCATCAAAACTGATCTGTTCTATTGACAATTTTTCTTTCTAATTCCTGTCTTGCTCCTACCTGACTTCCTTAGCAGTACCTGCTACATCTTCTAGGCTGACTGAGCTCTCTGAGGGGCAATATCTCTGATTTTCCTGTGCCCTGCACAGAAAACTGAGGTTTTAACTGAGGTTTCTGGTAGGTGTGAATGCAGGATAAATCAATGCTTCTGATGCAGGGTGTTAATTTGTGTGCTATTCTTATAACACAGAATTTTAACCTGGAGCAAATGAGCAGTGATTGAACAGGAACATCAGGTAGCACTTTGGGAACACTCCTCTTAATGCATACATGAAGAAAACCCCTCTAGTTAGAATAAATTCTGGGTTTCTTTTGTCTGAGGTTTCTTTTTTTGAAGTTCATAGCAATACCCAACATATTCATTAAACATTTCATAGGAGAGCTGTCCCCATCATGATCGGCATTCCCAAGTCCCTCCACAGTGAGCTTTGATTGTGTAAAACACATCAGAAAAAAATCATGGAGCAACTCTTGATCCCTCAGATGTGTTTGATCCCCCTTTTGAGCTTTCCCATCCTTCTTTGTTGTAAATTTACATTTATTGCAAGTGTCCTCATAAATTGTCCTTCTTGATTACTAACTGAGCCTGGTTTTGTGATATCTGTCATGGTATCCATTAATGATCCAGTTCTTAATTTGGGGAGAGCACTTGGTGATGTTTAAGATCTGGACAGTATTTGGCATTTTTCCATTCAGTTTATTTTTCATAAATATTTAGATCTACAATAGATGGAACCATGTGGAAATGTTACACTTAATATGTGTATTTCCATTATCACACTTACCTCTTACAGGCCAAGAGCACAAATGAAAAATTTCATTAAAAGTTGAACTGATTATCAGCTTTTAGATTGTGGGGTGTTTATCACTCTCTACAACCACTTGAAAGGAAGTTGTGGCCAGATGAGGGTTGGTCTCTTCTCCCAAGTAACAAGTTACAGACATGAGCAAACAGTCCCACGTTGCTCCAGGGAAGGCTTAAATTGGATGTTGGGAAAATTTCTTCCCCAAAAGGGTGGTTAGGCACTGGGACAAGCTGCCCAGGGAAGTGTTCAAAAACACCAGATCGAAATAGTTGAAGTTCTCCACTTAAGTGCTTTTTGTTTTCACGCAGATTTACCCTGGGCATGGTTTTCATTTTAATGTCTTGGTAATGTGTTCCCATTTTTAGGATACTGTTACCTCTGTAGTTTGGCCCCTCACTGATTTTGCTTTCACAATAATTTCAGGCAGGTGAGGACAATTTCCATTCCCCCAGGCTGGGAGCACTGGAGCTGCCTGGGTTCTGCTGTGTCCAGCATGGAGCTCTGCTCAGACCTGGACAGTCCAGTGGAAAGCCCAGCAGAGCCATGCATATCCCATTTCTTTAAAAAATACAGAATTGGGCAAAAATGTTGTGGGTTTCAACTTGTGAAAAACAACATATGCCTTAACTGGGACGCTGTTAGTAAGAAATTTTGACTTCAGACCTGCAGGGGTACTAATGAATATTTGCTATTTTATTTGGGATATAAACTGTAAAAGGATGAGCCTGAAGTGAGCAGTTTGTATCCAGAGCCTGTGGGCGTCTGCAGGATCAGGAGTTCCATGCTGATTAGTTTTTTCTTTAATTATATCCAGTGATGGAGGAGGCCTAGAATCATGGAAAAATCACACAATAGTTCAGGTTTGCTGATACCTTTAAAAATCATCTGTTCCAACCCTCTAGTACTACAACCCCTGTGCACCTCTGGTACTACATAATAGTGTATGAGGGTTTTTTGATGCTTGGGTTCCTTTGTGTGGTTTTTTTTTAACATCTACTGGCTTTTCCAGCTTCCCCTGTCCATTTACAGCCCTGCACTTGACACATGTCTCCAGCACACAAGTGGGGTGTGTGCTGCAGGCACCAGGCTGTGGCTTCCAGGCAGTTCTGGGTGCTCCTTCCTTCTTCCCAGGGCTGAGCCTGCCTTGTCCACATCTCCCAGCTCCAGAGGGTCCAGATCTCTTGCTCTGATGCAAATGAGCACAAAGCCACTTATGTCCTGTGGAATTCAGCAGGGGCCAGTGAGAAGGAGGATGATCAGGTGGAACAGTTTTGGATATGGTGGACCCATGTGTGCTGCTTTATTTCCCAGTGGATCTGGAAGCAAATTCTTATTTCACTTAGGTCAGTCTCTGCTTTTCTCTGTCTATCCTCATCTTTTCCTCACAGTTTTCCAGACTGCTTCAATTCTCACTTTTCCTTCACTTTCCCTTCAATTCTTTCACCTTTCCTTCACTTCTTTTCTTGTTTTTCAAACTCATTGATTACATCATACTGCTACTCACTGTGTAAGACCACTTCTATTCACATTCTGCTTATCTCACAAAGGGCTGAGAAAAGATTTGCTATTAAAATGGAAACAAGGCTTTGTTTTGTTATGATTTATTACATTTTATTATGACCCTTGCTTTGCACTTTGCACTGATAGGAAACTGTTCAGAAGGTGGAATGGAGCCTTGTGGGAACAGAATGAGATTCTCTTCTTTAAGGAAATTTAATACCACAGTGGAAAGTCAGATTCTCTCTTTATCTCCTTTAGATCCTCTTTGATAGGTAGTGTTTGACTTCAGCACACACTAGCAGTTGCCACCTGTGGTATTTCTCACTTTCTTAGGAGGTTGGAGGAGGGAAAAAGTCAGATCTGATCTGATCTCAGCATCTTGAACATACAAAGCATTGTGGCCCTGCAAATGTTATGAAATCATTCCTATCCAGTCTAATGAAATCATTCACTGATCTTTCTGAAGTCCCCAAATATGATACTCTACCAAAAAGAAGCCTTAGGGGAAATTAAAATTCCATCTTTAGAATGCAGTTTGAATAGGATGCAGTTAACATTCAATGGAGCTACATATTAAAGAGCAAGGAGAATTATTTTGAGTAGCTGCTTATTAATTGTGCATCCATTACCTTGATTTAAAAATACAGAATAATAAGGTTAACTGTACAATTTAGTGAAGTTCTTTTAAAGCAGAGGAAGACTGTGTGTTCCACCAGTAACATGTGTGATTAATCAGCACCATCTAAGCCTTAAATCCATTGCCAAGTGTAAGAGCAGCATTGGAACAACCAGCAGCAGCAGCATAAATTGGTGTAAAGCAGAACCCAGGATGATTTCACAACTAATGCTGACAGCTGTAGGTGTCATGTAAAAATTAAGGCTCTTCTGAGTGTTCTTTACAGCCCTGGGGAGGCCTGCATAGCAGTGAGCAGAACTTTTGTGCCTTTTCCTTCCAGCTTGGTATCTTTAGCCCAGTGTCATCCAGGTTGAACTTCTTGTGCCCATTGCATTCTCTTTTTTGGGTACCTGTGCCCCAGTCTTTTACTGCCAGGCTGCACCTCAACACCATTGGTCTCATATTTGTTCCTCCACACTATCTCTGAGGATCTGTGCCTTTTGTTTCCTTCCCAAAAGGTATCACTTACCCTAACATATCACAGTACCTTTATCTCCCACCTGCTCATATAATCTTACTGTCCTCCCTCTGCCCCCCAGTTCCAGGTACTTGTTCTTGTCACCTTGCTGAGCTGCTCCAGGGCTTTGAAATTGCAGCTTCTGGTTTCCCTTCTTTTCTGCAACTTCTTTTTCAACACCCTCCAACAGACAGATCAAAAGAGACTGATGTTGCTGAGCCAAATGATGCTTTTCTACCTGTAGACAGCAGAAAAAATGAACCAAAATAGTGTATTTTGCTATGTTGAGTGTGGTTCTGGGGTACCAGGCATTTCACCAGTCCCTTAATACATAAAGGTGAGACTGTTGCTCACACCTGTAATTCCTGGAAATTATAACATGGGAGAAAAACAAATCAGAATTTACATTGTTTTGTTGAAAAGTGTACATCATCATTTTCTGCAAGTGTGGCTGTTCTCTCAGGTCACTTTATCAGAGCTACATTGATTTAGAGAGTAAAACACACTTTATTACCCCTCTTCTCTCCTCCCCTGCATACTCCAATCTACTGAAAAGGTGTTTTGCTAAAGGATTAGTAACTTCCCCACAAGAATGCCAAGGGTTTCATCAAATCCTAAAGGAAAAAACCCTTTGAATAGGTACATCCAAGGTCTCACACACATTACCATTTTCAAAGAAAGACTGGCAAGGATTTGCATGTAGTGTACAAAAAGCTGACTTACTCTCTGGCACAAAACATTATTATTGTATATATAGTCTCAAGCCAGTGTGAAATCAATATGATAATATGTGCTTTAATGATTTATTTCAGTTGTCTTACTTGGAAATCCAAGTTGGATTGAATTGTTTTATTTATATGTTAGAACTTAGGACATCTTGGAGATAAAAGAAAAGCATTTCTTACCAGAGAGATGAGATAATGTCACACCTTCTGCAAGTGATTTATTGGAGTTATTTGTTAAGAATAAAACCAGCTTTTATATTCTGTGTACGTTGTTTCCTCAGATGAGAGTTTGCCTAAAGGTCTGTGTGAGTGGGTAGAAGGAGTTGTTGATAATGCTGCTGTTTATATATGTGTAGAACATTCTTTGAGCTCTCTCAGTTTCCCTGAGAGATTCTGATGATTATTGTTTCAGGCATGTATATATTTCACTTTGAGAGAGGTTATTTGAAAACGTGCAAAAGCTTTAATCCTGTTTTCTTCTTGTTTATACAGAAGGTGAAAGAGCTTTACCATCCATACCAAAGTAAGTTTTGTGCTTTCTTTTCTCATATATTTTTAAAAATGTTTTGAAAAATAGTGATGCTTTTAGAACTTCTTTCTAACAATAATTTTTATTGTTGCTCTTGGATTCCAGGACAAATAGCAGGTAGGGCATAAAAAGCTCACAGTAGTATTTAACTACAAAGATACCAGAAAGAAAATCAGAGAACAAAAGCACCTAATGCATCCCATATTTGACAATAACAAAAGTAGGATGTTTTGGAAAAAACTTGACTGGGGTTCAGGCTGTTTCTTTTGAATCCATCAGTAAATTTAATTATAGGAATGATGCTAAACAGTTTGCACTGTTTATTTATAAATAACTGCATTTAAATGCAATTGGTTTTCTATGTTTGACATGTAAAGTAATTCCAAATAGTACAGGATAAGTCTTTTTACAGACAGAAACTCAATTCATACTCCATTTCCCACAGATCACACAGAAAGTATAAGCACAGTCAGGTTACACACATCTTAAAAGTGTGCACAGTTTGGCTTTTGTGGTTTCCTCCCAACTCCCCAGGTTTCTGTGACTCGTTGTGCTGATGAAAAGCCACTCTCACTCCCCCAGACAGGATGCAGTGGTAGATTCCTCCCTGCCTTCTCCCCCTGCTCATCCTGTGCCTGGGGAGGTGGCTCAGCCCTGCTAATTACAGTAGGTGCCTGTTGGGATGAGCTCCCAGTGCTTGTGAAGCATGTCCAGCATTCAGCACTTCCAACTTCTGTTTTCCAGGCTGGCCAACAATGAGAAGCAAGGAGTGAGGTCTCACACAGTCTCTGTGTCAGGTAAGGCTAATCCAAAGCCAGCAGCTGAATTTATTTCTGGAGCTGGCAGAGGTGCAGGCAGCTTTTCCAGGGCTGCTGACTGCCCCAGACTGGAGCTCTGCTCTAAAGAGAAACTTTTATGCAACAGCCACATCTGTGCAGTTACTTCAAAGCTTGTCAGAATTTCCACTTAACTTTGGGATGAAGTAGAATGTCTTGGCTAGAACTGAAATTACCTGAGTATGTGCTAATTGTGAGGGAGCAGCTTTGAAAAGGGAAAATAGGCAATTAAATATTAATCATTGCTTTACAGAAAGGAGAAACCTAATAGCTGTTTTTCTGTAGCTGTTTAGATAAAAGCATTTAATTTTTGCTGTTGAAAATGACAAGTTAATTGAAGGATGGGTATGTGAGGTAATACATGTTATTTCTGTTCTTTATAGGTTTCTAAGAATTCTCTAAGTTAACATGGAGGTTTTATGCTTCAGAGAAAATATGTTCCTGTTACAGAATCTTAAATAATTTTGAAGGATTGAATCTTAGTAGTATCTTAGTAGAAAATGTATTTCTAAATCAGCATGCACAATATTTATTAAGGGGATTGTAATGCAAAAAAAGTATTTATAGTATGATATATATTATTAAGATTTACATTATGATTATATTATGGTTCAATAGGTTTCTGGTATTTGGTCACAAACTTGAAGAACCAATACTGTGACTCAGTGGATTTCCCTCCCCTTAGAGGGAGGCTTCAGCCCCACTTTTAGATTTATGTGAGCTCTTAGTGGCAAATACTCAAAACCCCAGCATATTTCATACAAAAAGGTGGAAAGATATGTAGGCATTTGATTAATTTCCTACTTCTCAGATTCCTTTCCCCACCCTTACCCACTTGTAAAATATATTTAAGATTCACTGCTTGGCATAGGAAACCCAAATAGACACTGCAAGAAAAGAGGGGAGAGGATGTGAGTTAAAATGAGGATAAAGCTGCAGAAATAGAGCTTCACCAGTTACTGTGGCCTCCCAGAGTCAAACAGCAGCTCTTTTTCCTTCAGTGCCTGGCAAGCAAGCATGAAGCATGGTCAGCATATTCTCTTTGGATTCTTACCTGTATGGCTCATTTTAGCTGTTAAAAAAAGTTGAAATGGCTCAAGTGATTAGTTGTGTTCTTTTGTAATTATTCCACTGCCCCTCAAAAAGGCTAATCTTCAGGACAAAAAAGGCTGTCTGCAGCCTCAGATGTTCACTCCTTCAGTTTTTCTGAGCATGCTAGTTATACTTTTAATAAGAAAAACAATAATAAATGCTGACTTCATGATCTTTTCTTGCTGTCACTCTGACTTTGCAAATTTTAAGTGTCTTCTGCTGAAGTTCTTAGGTGTTTCAGAGCACAAACACTCCTTTTTAAAGTAGCATTTTGAAATTAGTGTAGGAAGTGACTTGTACTACCCCCAGCTCTGGCATTGAGGGCATCACATGAAGGTGAATGAGAGGGAAATGAGAGCAGTGCTGGGGGTGAGCTGCTTGTTCAGGTGAATGTCAGGGGCACTGCAAAGTGGCTCCTGTGAGCAGTGGAATCAAATTAAAGCAGCAAATATCATCCTCACTCTTGCCAATACCAAAAACACCAATTAGGTATTATTTTTGTATTGTAGGAATGTTTCATATCTTTCCACAATAAAATTATTGTGCTTGATGCTTGTTTTTATACCATGTTAATGGTTTTTATACCATTTTAAACCTCTGGAAATGCTGGAATGGTTTAAGCCATTTAGTATTTAATCTCAAGGGTTTGTTCTTCTGATAATATAATGACACAGAACACATGAATACTTTTTTTTTTGTTGTGTTTTTCCCCCCAAAGTTAGTTAAAATGCACTGAGTGTGTCATCATATTAAATGTAAAGCAGAGGCAGATTGCTGAGATGACCCCACATGACAGGGGTTATTCTCAGAAGCTGCTTTCTGTAAGAATCCCTTGAATCCCCCAAGGAATCAGGTTGCTATAAATGAAGTGGTGCTTGGTGTGGATGTGGAGAAGTGTCCCTGCTGTTGTCAGATGGAGCCCATCCATCAGTGGGACAAGGGAGGCACCAGCTCTGCACGAGGCCCAGGGCAGAGGCAGCTCAGGGGCTGCTGCTCTGGGGTGCAGAACAGGAGCTTTTCTCTGCTGACACTGCAGGGGCTCAGAGACAGAGGTTTCAGAGGAGTTTTTGTAGCTCAGTGACATCTGTACCTGCTCCACACCTTTGATGGTTTAAATCATGAATTAACTCTGCAGTTTGATTTCACTGACACTGCTCCCATTTGTTTAGAGCTCTCCCAATGCTAAAGATAAATAGCAAAAATGTAAAACAGAGATTCAGCAAAAAAATAAAAAGTCATATACTGTGATGGTGTTCACAGGGGTCTTAGGATGAGGGAAGAGACGAGGATCTGACTCCATGTTTCAGAAGGTTTGATTTATTATTTTATGATATATATTATATTAAAACTATACTAAAAGAATAGAAGAAAGGATTTCATCAGAAGGCTAGCTAAGAATAGAAAAGGAAGGAAATAACAAAAGCTTGTGTCTTGGACAGAGAGTCCAAGCCAGCTGACTGTGATTGGCCATTAATTAGAAACAACCACATGAGACCAATCCCAGATGCACCTGTTGCATTCCACAGCAGCAGATAATCATTGGTTACATTTTGTTCCTGAGGCCTCTCAGCTTCTCAGGAGAAAAAATCCTAAGGAAAGGTTTTTTCACCAAATGTGTCTGTGACAATATACATTTATAGTATTAACACACTTAGTTCAAAAGGGAAGTTTCACAGTGAGTTCCCCACCACAACTGGGATAGACCAGCAATATCCAAACCCAGTGTGAAACATGATTTGGTGGTTTGGAAGTTCAGGTATTTGTCTAAAGTTTTGCAGGTTTAAAAAGGAACCAGTTAGTGAAAGATACCTTGTCTTTTTTAGGTACTTACTAACATACTTTGGAATATTTCTTGTCTAGTGAAGTGAAAACTTGGTCTTTTCCAAGTGCTCCAATACTCCAAAGCACACAAAGATAGAAGGTTTGTAAATCCTCTTGATTTTTTTTCCTCTTCTAAATAAAGGTCCTTTCAAACTAGTGAGGGATGAAGTTGGTTTCAGGAATCCAAAGCAGCAAATTGCTGGATCTGGGAGTCACTGAACCAGGTTTCACCACAACCTTCTTTCCTCTTGCTGCTTCTCTTTCTTCTGGTGTTGTCTACCTTGATTCCTCAAATTCTCTGTTCCTTGCAGTGGGCACTGTCTTTGTGTGTAACCAAGATGCCTGCCAGATTCCCCTCCTTTTAAAAAGTATTGTGATTTTATGCCTCAACACATTTGTGTGTGTGTAAGATTATAAACTCCTGTAAATAAGCTAAACCAAATCAGTTGGATTTTAGATTTCTTTGGTAGTGATCTGATGTTTTGGCTGAAGTTGCTGTGATTCACCAGAAACAATGACTATTTTAGCTAATAGGGAATTGCAGCTTTTACCTCCTTCTTCCTCTGCTTCTGCATTAAAAAAAGAGTTCTTTGTCCTTAGCCAAGGGTGTACACTCAGGAAATGGTAAGGTTAAACTATTTGGTCTGTGCAAATAATATATCAAATGTGTAAGAAGCAGCACACCAGTTAACTCTAATTTTATTGACTGTATTTCCACTGTTTGGCTTGGAGACACCTTATTAAAATGCTCTGCTGTAGTCCAAAGGAACTTACTTTGGCCAGCAGTTTGTTTTTAAATAGCAAACATTAGCCTTGGTAAGGTGATCTTGTATTTCCAGATGTACATATTTCCAAAAATAATAACTTATCTGGTCCAGTCTATATTACAAAAAGTTTTTCATAAAATGAAATCAGTACAGCAGTAGCTGCTTGCTCCCTTTTTACATAAATTCCTCCTGACACAGAGTTCTTTGGTTTCTTCTGCCCCTTCCTTACTTATGTAAATATGACTAGGAAGAATAAATATGCTTTTGCATCCCTTGGCTAATCACTGTTCTTCCTTTACCCTGGAGAATCCATTAATTTTTTTAATCCTAGCTCAAATGCTGCTTTCCATGCAGTGCCACAGAATATGACATTTCAAGCCCATGTGTTTCACTGAACAGGCAGAGGATTGACCAAGCCTTGGCAAGTTCTTGGCACTGCTGGGTTAATGGTTGGATTAGATGATTTTAAGGGTCTTTTTCATCCTAAAGACCCCTGTGATTCCAAGCAGTCCCTCCTGGCATTTGGATATTCAGGTACTGTTGTAAAATGAGGTTTTTGTGGGGAGGGAGCTGTGAGTGAGAAGATGACAGGAAGGGAGAGGTGAGCTGTCCTGCAGTAGCCAGCACAAGGGCTGAGTCTGAAGGGGATTTTAGGATGTCCCACAGGGTTGGTCTTGCTTAAAGGAGGGGCTGGCTTTGCAGCTTTAGTATGAGCTTATTTGGTGAAGGTAATTAAAAGGTCTCTGAAAATACAGTCCCTGTTTCAGCTGATAAAGCAAAGTGTTCAAGGCACCTGAGTAGCAAACCCCAGGACATAAACCTTTAAGAGGGAAATAAATATATTAAAGAGAAACTGGTTTGTTATCCTGTTCCCCAGCTGGTGCAGCTGCTGTCAGTAACACAGGCAGCATTTTAAACTCAAAGGGGTGCAGCTCTAAGTGCATCATGAAATGATGGCAGGAGTTTCTAATAATTCTGGTTGTGCCATTGCCTCTCTATCCCATGGTTTAGATATATTCAGTAGCATGCCCCATGAAGGATTTGATCTCTTGGAGCAAATATCTGTAGAGGAGCTGAAGGATTTTAGGATCCTGAAAGAGGAGCTTCTCAGCATCTTTCCAGGTTCTGCTTTAAAAATCACAAATTTGTAACATAACAATGTTAAATTTTAATCACTGTGATTAACTCCTGATCATGGCAGTGAAATGAGAGCTGCTGCTTAGGAGCAGATCCTAAGCTCCTTGAGGGAGCTGCCAGTCTAGTCCTGGCATTCAGCTGAAATTTCAGTTTGAATGGAAAAAAACCCCTGTTTTGAAGGAGGTGAGCCTGATTTAAGTGAGATTTTATCATGAAGGAAAAAAAAAAACCTCTATGGTATAGTTTGTGAGTAAAAGAGACTTTCAGGAGGTTTCCTACAGAGGAGAAGCCAAATGTGAAAACAAAACAAACAGGAGAGGGGGAAAAAACCCCTGATGTCAGTGTTACAGAACTTCAGAGTGCTCTAAATGAAGGAGGTGCTGGCTTGTGAAAGGACCTGTGTGCCCTGGGTTGAGGCTGATCAGCAGCAAAGCTGTGAGCAGGATGGAAAAACAAATTCAATGTTATTGAATCACTTCTGCTTGCAGAGCACAGAGCAGGCTCTGTGACACAATTCCTGTGCTCCACATGAAGGTCTGCCCTGTGCCCAGCTCTGAAAGAGTTTCTTGTGCAGGACTTGTATTTCTTAGCTCCTTTTGAGTTAGTTGGTGGGGAAAAAGGTGGCCTTTGCTTGAGATTGAAAAATTATTGGCAGTTTTTTAATGTCCATTTTGTCAAGACACTCCAAAAGGACAAAGCTGGGAAGTGTAAGTAAATTTTTAGGTGAAAAATTGTATCTTGAGCACTTAGGACTGTATCACAGCTCAGCTTTGTTGCACTGCACAGCTCACTTCTGAAAAGAAAGACTAAGTGTCTTGCTATAAATGACATAGTTATAAATTCAAATCAAGTAATTATTAAGTAATTTGAGGAATATAAAGACTTTGTTAGAGCTTTAGCTCTGCCATATGGTCACAGCCCTGGGAGACATTCAAGCTTAAAGTTTACTGCAGATTAATTTTACAAACCTTGAGCAAGTCATTAGTCTCCAGGTTCATGGAGGAGGGAGCTGCTTCTTAACTCACCCAGCTATTTCACTGATTAATAAGATAATATAGTTGAAAATGCCCTCAATGCTAATAAATTACAGTATTTCAGATTCCCATCACAGTTGAATAGACTGGTGCTGTTATCTTTTCCTATTTTAGCCTGACTGACTGAAAGGCTTCTTTTCATGCACAAAAAGACCAGAATGAATTGTGGTGACAATCTGAAGAGATTTCTTCCATATCAGTGTCCAGGAAGTTCCTGCAATGATTCCATCAGCCTGTGGTGCTGGTTAAGGTTTTAATAAGTTTTTATTCTCCTGTGCTCCTCCTCTGTGGGCCTCTCATTGGATTTGAGCAGAACTTCTGCTGTGCAAATAGTACCTGACTGGGGAAATATTCCATGCAGGTTTGGGGGTTTGTTGTTCATGTAGAAACATATTTGATGTGCCAGCCCCACAGTGCTCATTTGTGTTCAAAAGCTCAAAAATCAATTGATTTATTCTTTTTACAGGTTTTTGTTGCATGGTTTTTCCTCAGACTGGTTCAAGAATGTACAGTGAAATAGAATGGGATATTTTCAGGTTCAGCCTTCCAGTATTTGCTCTCTGCCCATACAAGGAGCTCCAGTAGTAACTGCCCTGTACAGAAAGAGCAGTAAAAACCTGGCATCTTTCTTTCTAACATAGTTATTGCACAGCAAGTGATTTTTTTTCCTTATTTTTGCCTTTTAAAATTTTTTTTTTCACAGTAATTTTAGTGAATGCTGTGTAGAGGAACTAAATAAATAAAGAAGTCCTGTGCAGTTCTCAGCAGCATTCTTGAGCACCAGTGATATCCTGGCTGGAAGCTGCTGTGGAATGCTGGAAATCCTTCTAAGTTGTATTCATTTCATTATGGTATTCTCTGGACTCCTGGGAAAGTGTTAGAACTTCTATTTTTTAAAATTTTAAATCAACTCATTAGAATCAACTTCCTTTTGTAGCTAGACTTGCAGATGTGGTAAGTTTAAGACAAAGCATCTTCCATTCATTGTGGCAGAACAGCTGAACAAACACAAATTGTTGACAGCAAATCATAAAGGCAGAGTTTGAAATGCAAGGGCAGAATTGGACCATCACAGGGCATCAGGGCATGCACATGAATTAAAAACACTTTTACCTTTGCAATGTGCCCTCATTTGAAATAGGTTTGCTCAGGTTTCAGCAGCTTGTGCCTCCCACCTCTCAGTGTTAGGGTGAGCAGCATTTCAGCACTTAAGGCTTAAATTAGCTCTGGAGCCTGAGCAGGCAGGTCAGGAGTTGAAGCCTCTCCTCCCTTTGGAGCTTGCATTGCCTGCAGTGACTCTATACCTGCTCTTCTCTTTCAGCACAGAGTGTTGGGTTCCCTCATTCTCATGTCAACACCCTTTCAGTGGTTGCTTAAACCAGCTGCAGTATTTTTTCCTCTTCTTTCCTAGTGTCTGAAGCTTTTTATGAGTGTTACCTGAGGTTTGTGCTAGAATGACACTGCTGAAAATTGTCTGCCATGTGATGTTAGGAAGAGAAGTCCCTTAGGAGTATCAAGGGGGAGAACTCAGAGTGTTCCCCTTTAAATTAGCTTAACCCAAGACAAATGGAAATTCTGATACACTGACTTAGTCAAGAATTTTCCCCTCTCCTTGCACCTCTTTTAGTTTTTAGCATTGAATCTGATTAATGTTCTGTCTTTCTCTCTGATATGTGCATTTTCCCACTAGATTAATGATTCCTGTTTGCTCAGTCACCCAGCAGTTTTTATGCTGGTGGTTTTTTGTTGATTGTGGAAGTTACTTTTATTAAAATATAATTTTCCTTTTCTGTCCTTCCTGCACTCCTCCCACCTGTGACTGGTTCACTGTCCCAGTAGCTGCTGCTGTGGGACTGGGCTTCTCTTTTAACACCTCCATCCCCAGCCTGTGTAACTCCAGGTGGCTGCACCTCACTCCTGAGTTTTGGCTGTGAAGAGCTACCAGCCCCAAGATGCAGGTTTTTTATTTAATTGGCTTTTAAAACCACTTCTCATAATTCCTTAGAGAGAGGAAAAAGGGGAAAGCAGAGATGAGCAAGCAGGTAACAAGAGAAATAAAAGGAGCAGGTATCCTCAGGTGCTGTGTGTCATCTTGTGTCCTTCTTTCTCACCTTGTGTGGCTTCTTTGTATTTTTTCCTACTCCAAAATTTCCCTTGTCCTGATAAGCACTTTGCTAAAACATGCAGAGGGGTGACTGGGAAAGGAGGTAGTGAGGGTGCCATGGGCTGTTCACCCAGAGCTGGAATATCAATTGGCAGGGCAGGTCTGCACTGGGAATGAGACTCTGGTGGCAGATTTGAGATCATGAAATCTGTCAGTGCTGTATTTCAGGAGACAGGGAATGTTTTCCCTTGTTCTGTGTAACCCTGGTGTGTTAAACACTCCTTCTGTGTTGTTTTAAGGGTTCAGAGAGTCAATACATACATGTTTAAGTCTGGTGGCTGCCACTTTAGCTGGAATATAGCTGTCACACAAGTCTGACAGAACTTAGATGGCAAACTTGGAAAAGCAGGTTGTGCTTCTGGGATAAATGTTCTTTGTATTGCTAATGAATGGTGTACATAGCTGGCATAATCTGACTTTTTAATGGGTTCTAGTCTTACTTCTAAAAACTGAAATATGAATTACTGTAGAAAGGAATTTGAAGGAAAACACTAAAAATGCTTTAGAGTTTCAGAGATATTTGTATTTTCATTTGGGTATACAGAATTTTAATGTAAACCTTTACTTTTATGTTCATTCGTTGTAGGTGTTCTCTCCAGTCTCTTTTCTTTTATTTCCAAATAATTTGTTTCTGTTTTTTTTCTTTCTCTTTCCTTTTCTTGCCTCTTTGTAAAGGAGTCAATCACTGTCAGCATAAAGTAAAGAAAGCTAGACGCTTTCTGCCTTTCGTCTTCTGTGCCCATGAGTCGCCGCCCAAGGGTACTGCTCTGCTCTTTGTCTAGGCTGCCTTATTAACCCAAAAGCTGAATTTACTAACTCAGTTACTGTTTGTAAACTACTTTAGCCTCAGGTAAACAGAGTTCCAAGAATAATTTCGTTACCTTTTCCTGCTGTTGAATTGGATTTTCGTGCAGCTTGCTGGTCCCCGTTTTTATGGGGAGCGTGTTTTCGAGCATCATATACTACAATGAGAAACATATTAAATTATTTTATTTATACAGTCATGCAGCCCTTGACTGCCATCTTTTTTTTTGGTAAATATATTTTGACTTCATTCTTGGACCCCTGACACAGCATGCTTATGGATGAAACAGAATAGCAACAATAAGCATCAGCTGAGATCACTTTGAATTAAACACGGACTACAGCGATGCTTTTGGCTGCGTACTGGTCCAGCACTGATCTAGACCAGTTTGGCTTTATTAGGGGTAAGAAGAATTTCCTATTATCTATAGAAACTGTCTAAAATATTTGCCTTAGCTTGTGCTGTGGGGTTTGGTGTGCAGTAGGGCTGCTGCAGTCCACGTGGAATCTGGTGTTTGTTTGAAATCTTCCCTGTAGAGTTGCTCTCTTTGCCACTCGTTCAAATTTCAGCCTTGTACAAGTGCACAATGCTCTGTGTCATTGAAACTTAGATGGTTCCATTTCTCACTCTGTCTTGGTGATAGCTCAGGAGTGCATTTCTCCTGGAAGGGTCAACACCAGCTCTGCTTTTCCAAAGTCCTCAATGTATGTGCAGAGCCAAATTGAGCCGACTCATCTGGCTATAGGAGAACTGCTTTAAAGTATTGAATAAACCCAGAAATTTACTATTTTTAGCAATGCATTAAAAGAACTACTTCCACTTCCAAATTTATTTTTTGTGTACCTTTGTGTTTGAAAGTCATTAACTCTGTTTCATCATGAAAGCTTCTTAGAGCTTATCTCTGTCCCTTGGGTTTTAGGTGAGAAGTCTTAAATTCTGCTGCTTTTCTGGTTTCTCTTGAGTCAGGTATATAAGATAACTACAGTCTGAATACTTTTGGATTACTCATGAATTTAATAGTATATTTTCCCCTCCCCTTTCTCTGTCCCCTCTCTCTCTCCCCCTCTTTTTTCTCTCTCCTTGCATGCCACCTGGATCTGCAGATGAAATTAGTGGGGACGGTAATATGTTTTCTAGTCTGTGTGTTACTAACGTGCAATATGCAACTCTTATCTCCATATACCACTTAATGCACATTTCAGTAATACATTTTATACAGCTTTTAGTGTTCAAAAGTGGTCTGCTTTGGGTATTAGCTGATAAATACTGTACTTTACAGGCTGTACAACTAATGCTTCTTGCTAAACTGGAATTGGAAAAGGAAAAATTCTGTTTCAAACACTTAGAGATGTGGTGGTGCATGTGTTTGCAATGAGACTTGTGGCATGATGCAAAGAAGGTTTAGAGGTTTGTAAGTGTCCAGTTTGATTGAAATGGTTACATTATCATTAATTTGGTCAGTGGGTGAGATCAGTGGATGTAACACCTGAGAAATGAGTCGACTGAGTAATGCTTTAAAGGCATCAAAGTGCTCCTTGCATTAAAAGAAGCTGTACAAGATAGATTAATGCAGATTGAATACATGAATATTAACCAGGTTTCAGCTATTCAAACTTATAATTTAAGAGACAGATTTTAATGTTTGGGGTTTCCTTTTAAAAATTTTGAAACTTACTACAAAATATTTAACTTTTGCAGACTTGTAAAATCTTTTTTCTTCTGAAAAGAAGTTGAGGTTTGGTTTTTTAAAAAGAGAATTTTGGCTATTTTTCTAAAGGATTCCATCTGATGTTGGGAAAGAATCAAACTGCTGCTACTGATAGTGTGTGTACCTTTATCCTTCTAAGTAGGAGGCACTAAAGGGGCATAAAAGCAATATGCAAAGGAGGGTGATAAGAGGAAATAGAGATCACATCTTGTGACCTTCCTTTCAGTAAAATGTGAAGGGGGTGTATTAACTTTTCATCTCCTTCCCTTCAGATATAAGCTAAAGATAATACCACACAATTTTCTTCCTTTTCTTAAACATCAAATGGACATTTTTTTCTGTCATAAATTTAAAAATCATATTTCATATACTACCCCTACATAGCTTTTATTGAAACTTATCTTCTTTTATAAATTACAGGCTCTGATAAATGGGAAAAGTTATGAAAATGGGAAGTTCAAACGTGTGCCTAAGGTCATGGATTAACTGTTATGGATTTAATACCCTGGGATGTTTCTCCCTACATTTAATAAATGAATTCAGATTTAGTGAAGCTCAGATTGGCTCATTCATGTGAGTGACCACCACTACCTGTACCTGGAAGCAACTTGTTCATTTTGCCATCTCCAGGAATCATAACAAGGGATGCTGCTGGGTTTAAAAAGTGCAGGAAGGCAGCATGATGAGCCCTCATATTAAATCTGAGTTTTTTTGGACTTACCAAGGACATCTGGAATCCCTGAATGTGTTCAGCTCTTGAGGGTGCTGTAACACATCCTCCTTTGTGGAGCAGCCTGGAGAGCCCTGCCCAGCTCAGCTTTGCTTTAGGCTCAGTGTAGGTTCTGGAATATCTCTTAGCAGACGCAGTTCTGGCAGATTTGGTGACATTCTCAGTCTGTCATTAATACTGGGCCCAAGCCCCTCTGTGAGGAGGTCAGTTCTCTTTGTTCCACACCACCTAGAGCATATCAGTGTTGATGCCTGGACTGAATTTTCCTCTAGTTCCCAAAACCAATGCCAGACATACATAGGAATTATTTTTTTATATATTTCTCTCCAGATTATTAAATGTGGAACAAGAAATATTTGTGTAGTTAATTGTGTACATTTAATTTATTTGGATTGATTATGAAGACTTCTGGCTTCATGATGGTTTTGGGCAATGTATCAAAAGCATGTAAAGTGCTCTGTGCTGCTCTGAGAATGCTTTTAGTATGAATTAACTCATTAGTTTAAATTAGAGAGATGAACAAGCCCTGCCATTGATCACATTCTGAAAGCACTATTCTGTAACCTAGTGTGAAAGGTGTTGGGGTCCTTTAAGTGGTACCAGTAAAGTGGCACCAGTTTGGTTTCCAGGCTTCAAAAATTTTTCTTAGATGTGTTTATAATATTTTTCATCCAGTCAATTTTCTAACATAAAGAACTTTCTGATATCTTCAAGAAAATCCTATCGCAATATTGGAGGGAAACAGAGTGATTTATCTCCATCATGTTGGGGATTGGTTTTTTTTAAGCTTTTTTTTTTTTAAATGAAACTGAAGCTTATTTTTACAAAAACATTAGCTTATAATGTAGGGAAGAAAATAAAATACCAAGAAATAGATAAGTGCTTCTGGAGTGTCCTGCCTCTTCAGAATTGTGCAGGGTCATTAGAATTTATTGCATTTTCATGCATTAGGTGACTGTGTTTTGCTATGTCCCAAATAGAAATTGCCTGACAAAATTTAAAATTACATGGAATTTCCCAATTCTGCTTTTACCTGGTGTATTCTTACAGGAGTTCAAAAGAAAAAAAACAGCTTGAATTTTATTTAAATAGTAAGAAACTAGGATCACAAGTTACACTTACTCCCTGAAGTGTGTTGAACTTCAAAGGTTATAGGCAACCTGTACTTTCCTAATTGTGTAATATTTAGTTTGCCTGAAAACTGAGCCTCTTGCTTGTCTGTGTGTGAACTATTGATGAGCCTTGCTCTGGTTTCAGGGCTGCTTTCAGCTCAGGGTCCATCCCATCCTTCTTCCCACTCACTGTGGCTTTGTCCCAGTCCAAGCCATGGCTCTGGAAATGATGCCAGGGAGCTGTAGGGATGTATCCATGTGCTCCAGGGCAGATGGGGGAAAAGGGGGAGGAAATCATCACTTCCAGAGGCTTTCCAGTGTGTGTGATCACCTGAAATCAACCACAAAAACTGCACAGTGGGTTTGGAAATTACTCAGTTTTGAGAACCTGTCTTTGTGTTTAAAGTTGGTGAGTAAAATTTGACAGCCTTGAAGTAAAAAAATGAGCCCACTGTAGTGGACTGGCTTTAAAACCCCTGGAAGAATTGATCTGACCCTGGAGGAAATGACCTCCACACACTGGAAGTTCTTTAGGGCAAGGGAAGGATCTTCTGATATGACTTGACACCATTTAAACTATTTTGAGAACAGATGATATAAAAGTTGCAATTTTTTAACAGAGGAAGAAGTGCGCTGTCATTTTTCTGAAAATTTTGGGAAGTTGTTTCCAAAACCTGATGTCCATGAAATCTTGAATCTTGACAGCAAAACTAGTGGTAAATTTCTACTAAACAAGGAAAATTGTAAGAAAAATGAGGAAGAGAGTGTGGTTTAAAAAGGTCTTTGTGCTCTAGAAGATTCTGTGGTAAATAACTCAGCTGGCCACACTGACAGTAGGGGGAAGCTGCCCTGGAACATCATTGGTGTCTTCTGCCTGTTTGTCATAAAACATAGCAAACTGTTATTCACACTTTATTGAAGGTAAAGCAATTTAACTCATTCATAATTTTTTCTCTTTACTGCAATGGAATTTGCTGTTAAAAAGATTTAAAATCAACAGCTTAAATGGGTCCCAATTGCAAAACTTGAACTTTTTTGAGTACAAACGAATCTTCCTTTTCTTCTTTGTTGAGTGCATCTCTGTGATGTAATGCAGTTGGCACTGAGGTCATTATCATATCATGAATTATGCATGAGCAAGTTTTAGTCATGCTGTATTAAATGTGACCCAGCAATGCTGAGCTTGGGGTTTGGGATATACCAGCCTTGATACATTGGAATTGTTCTGGAATTGTTTTCATCTGCTTTTCCCGAAACTCTTCAATTCCTCCCTTTGCAGAGACTGATGACTATGCAGAGATTATAGATGAAGAAGACACTTACACAATGCCCTCAAGTAAGTGCCATGGTTAACTTGGGAAATTTCCTATCCAAAAGCTTCCTTGGTTTAGCAGGAACTAAAATATTTCAGCCTTATTTATTAAATGTGCAAAGAAAATGTTCTGCTTTCCTGCTATCTGGGATTTCACAGTGAAATTCTTTCTTTTGTCTCAAAATGGGGATTTTTTTTTTTTTTTTGATTGTGATGCTGAACATAACACTTAAGATTGGATAAGGTCTCTGTGATGAGAGCAACCAGTGTGGCAAGCTCTGTGGATTGCTGTCTGTCAGTATCTCACCTTGCTATGTGACAGATTTGGTGCTCTCCAGTTCCATGAGAAAGGAACACTCAACTCTAGCACATGCAATTTTGTTAAAGATGAAAGACTGCAAGAACAAAAATAGAAATTCAAAGTTCTGCTGATCTTCATCTTTGAAGTAAAAACAGTGGTGCTGCAGCCACCACAAGGATTTTGTGTTACAGCCTGTTTGAATTATGATATAATCCTAAACTGTCAAGGCCAATTCATTTAACATGAAAGTTCAATATTCTGATTTTAAAAGCTGCATCTGGGAAATTCCAGTTGCATTTGGGCAACCAAGGATTTCTCTGGAAACAGACAATCCATTGGTGCAGAATCCTTTCAAAAACATCAGGTTTGGTCAGTGTGAGAGGAGAGGATGGTGCTGAGCTGGGGCCACATTCTGCTGAAGGACCATGAGCTTGGGTGGATTTCTGAGCTCACCATGGGGCAGAATGTTTCATGATCACTTCAGTGTTCACAGCATTGTTTCCATAGCTGTGGAAAACCTTTGAAAAGCAAGAATATATGTTTTGCAAAACATATATATATATATTTGAACATTAGTATTTGAAAAGCAAGAATATATGTTTTCCAAAAATAAACTGAGCATTTTTAATGTCTTGCAGTTAAGTGACAACATATTGTATTAACATAGTTTCAGGATCAAAACATACTGATAAATGATATCCTTTATTTTTGTTAACAGATTAACTTTGTGTAATTTATTCCCCCTCCCCCCCAACGTTTTTATTTAAATTCTCATGGCAGTAATTACTTGTGGGCCCAGCCCTGGTTGTGCTGAACACTTGAAGATGGCTTCAATGCAAAACCCATGAGATGGGCTGTGGAGGGAAATTCATTAAGTGCTTTGCTGGATTGAAGGGGACTCAAGTGTTCAGCTCCCAAAGGACTGAGTCAGTAAAGATCACAAGAATAGGCCTGTGACTTCTGCTAATGTAAACTTTAAATTGCATCAGTATATTTCTTCTTTTTTTTATGTTGAAAAATGTTTGTCCTGTTTTGATTTTAAGAAGCTCTCTCTAAGTAAGCATTTGATTTTTCTCTTAATTGCACTGCAGAAAGCTATGGAATAGATGAAGGTAACAGGAGACCCTTTACCCATCCCTGTATGCTTGCAGTTTGGAATGATGTGGAATTTTAAAGCTTCCTCTTCACTTTCATTTAATAAACATTATTTATTTATAGTTAAACCAGTTAGCTTTGGGATTTTAAAGAGGAAAACGCAGTACTTAAAAAAAGAGATGAAAAAGGCATTTGTCACCTTGTTAGCCAGCTCTACATGACATTACTTCTGTAGTGTTAATTATGTCAAAGTCAAGGTTATGAAGTTCTAAGCTGGTTGGTTGTAATTTTTTCTCTGAATAATACAAGTAGAGGTGAAAACATATACTATGCATGCTTTTCTGCTATTCCTGAAATATTTTTCCATGTCTGCTAGAAATTAAATTGCAAATGAAATCATTCAATTGCAATTGATTACATGTTTTGCTGAAGTGCTGAGCCATTTTTATCAGTAATATTCTCAGCCTATTAAACTGTGACATTAACAAAATTGCATAAGGCCACCAAACATCTCAATTTTACTTCAGTTACACACTGGCAGAGGTGTAGTGCTCTCAAAATTTCACTCTTTCATTTTGTCTTTATTTGCCATGCTCTTGTTCCTGTATTTTTTTTTCTTGCAGTTACCTCTTTAAAAGTTCTCTGGGCTTTTTTGATGGTTCCAAAATCTAAACCAGCACATGGTGGAGTCCTCTTAAACAGCCAAAGGGATGTGTGCTGAGTTTAACATCATTGGTGTTGCCTTAAACTGTTTGTGTGCTTTGTCTTTCACCAGCTGTAATTAAAAAGGATTTAATTATGTTTATTGCACTGAAATAAGTGCATGGTAATTAATTTAACAATCTCACAGTTCTTTTCCTGTTGCTTTGGTTCAAACTGAGAGGTTTGAGAGGTCTCCACTGTGTGTGTGCAGCATCTCTATAGGTTGGTGTGCAGCAAGTGTTAATCTTAGTTTTTCATATGTGAGACATTTGAGTGACTTACTTTGAGTTTTGTGTCTTGTGGATTATTTCCTTGCCCTTCAGCAGAAACTTAATATTTCAAGTGCATTATGTTCTTGTAGCCAGAGATTATGAAATTCAAAGGGAGAGGATTGAGCTGGGGCGCTGCATTGGGGAAGGACAGTTTGGAGATGTGCACCAAGGAGTTTACATGAGCCCGGTAAGCCTCACTTCTCAAACCAAAATTAACAATACAACTCTGCTAGGTAAAATAAAAATAAGAGTATTCCTTAGAGGTCTTGGTCTGAGTCTTCCAGAACAAATAAAAATTTGGTCCAGTGACAATCTCGCTGTCTCTCTCATGACAAAGCCTAATAAAGTTCCTGTGTTTTCCTGAAATAAAATACAAACTACTTGGACACTGATCCAGCAATATCCCAATGCACAAGAGTCACCTCAGTGAAACCAGGGAGGTTGGCAGGACTTGTGTGATTTAGGCTGGTGCTCCTGAGTTTTTCTAGAAAGACTTAAGATTTCAGTTCAAATAGATCAAAAATTTGTGTAAAATAGTCAGAAAAAGCTGAAAAAAATAGTTAATTTCAACAAAGGCCCCTAATAAAATAAATATTTCACATTGGAAGAAATTGTTGGAATTTTTGATAGATTATAGAAGAATTCTTGAGGACAATAATCTTGTTCTAACTTCAGCAACAGCTGGTTATGATCCTGGGCTTGGTGGGTTAAATAATCTTCAATGCAATATTTAAGTAAATAAGGATAAATTTTCTGTTTCAGGCAAGTTTAAAGTCTGATCTGATACCCTTATTTAGAAAGCACATCTGATATAATTTGCATTGAGAGTTTCATATTTTTCATTTAATTCTGTCCAAGTTAACAGGAGTACCAAGGATTAATGGTTCACTCACTTGATGAAAGCTGGATAAGTCTAGAGCTCTGTAAAACTAATTAAGGACCCTTTTCTTATGGGCTGTTGTTTTGAAAATGTTGGCTGTCTCCATTCTTTTTTGTGAATTGGAAAATGGATTTTACTCAGGCATTCTGTGCTGAGATTTTTAAACAACCACCTGTGGATTTATTTTTTTAATAAGAATGTACTTCATTTAGGACACTGGGACATGTGAAGGTGAAACAGAACAGTGATGTCATTAAATTTTAATGTTCTGGTCACAGAGTGTAACTTACACTCTGGGAAGAAATCTTCAAATCAATGTAAGATTAGTTCTAATAACATGGTAGTGTAGCCTTTATATGTTCAGCTTGAGTGCAAAAATATAGGGGATATTCCTTGCCTTTTGTTCTGCTAGCTCAGAGCTGAATCTCAAAAATTCCATTTATCCCTGTTCATGGCACTTGTAAAGTCCTGATTCAGCATTCACCTCTCCCAGGTATTCCTGAAGGGTCACAGCCAGCCTCAGGTGTAGGGTACTGAGTGGAAAATGGGTTTATAGATACAGCATCCTATTGCTCAGCTGTAACAATCCCAGGAATCCCAGATTGTCTTTAAAGGCTGATTAACTGTGGAATTAATCCCAAAGTGTCATTTAAAAAAAACATTTCCTGCTCATTAGAGAAAATATGTCCAGTCTGATACATTCTCACTGGTTTGTCTCCTTATCCAAAACTAAAAGATTGACAAAACCCCAATATCAGACCTTTTCCAACATTTATTCTTCCAAATCTCTTTGCTGGTTGCAGACACTGAGGTTCTTCCCTTTGATGCCCCTGTTGGTTAAAGGGTGTTTCAAAACCTTGATGTTTAACACAGGAGAGGGATGGGTCTGGCAGGCATCCAGAGGTCTCATCCCCAGGCTGATTATTCAGTCCTGATTTCATAAGGGAATAATAAAATCATGATTTACCATCAGCTTTTTCAGTTAGTTTATGGGCATTTGATGTGTGAGAAAAGGATTAGATCAATATTTTCCTGCAAAGTCAACTTGAAGATCTTTTTTGTGAGCAACTTTGAAAATAAGGCATTTCATCCTGCAAAATAGAAATACTATTCTAATTCTGGTAATTTTTGTCTGTAAATAGATTTAAAATAGACCAAGCATGAGCAGAGATGGAACATAATTCTGAATCTTCATTTCCTACTGGCCTTAAAAATTGGATGAGGACATTCATCAGTGCTGTAGCATTTTGAGAAAAGGTTCATTTGTAAACTGCTAATTAAACCATGGACAATTCCCAGTTTCCCACTTGGAAGGAGGACATGCCCATTGGACAAGCCCATTCCTAATGTAGAAACTTAGTTTTAAAACACTTCAGCTGCTCTCAAGCCTTCAAGAACTTCTCATTTTTGGGTATTCAGAGGATGAGAAATCAGATGGGAAAATCCATTTGATTTTCAATACATGTGGGTCTGTTGAACCTGCTGTTAAAGCCTTGATCTGGCTCACTGTGAAGATAATGTGTAAAAATCTTTGTTTTACTTTTCTTTTTAGTCTGGGTTCACAATTACAGCCAGTCTTTCCTCTGAAAAAGCCACAAAAAGTCTTTAATTTGGGTTTCTGGGTTGCTTGCTTGTATAAGCCAAGTGTGGTTTTTAGCACATATCTCTTTCTTTTCTCTATTTTTGCTAAATATTGTCAAGATACATTCCTCAATAGCTCAAAAAGTTTACAGTACTATTCAGTTAAACTTACCATCTCTTGTCATAATTTTTCCACAATTTAACATGGTTCAAAACAGATTAAATATTTCCAAGACACATTAGATGTAAATGTTGTATGCAAGGTGTCTTGATTATAATGATATTGCAACACTAAAGCTTTCAGCATGTGATTTCTCAACTAAAGGTATTTTATTTAATAGTAATTTTTTCCAAAGTAGTTTTGCCAGAATTCTAAGGGCCAGCTTTTGGTGGGCTGTTTTTGGTGGTTTGTATTTCAGCTATTTCTCAATAATATTTTCCAGGAAAATCCAGCTATGGCTGTTGCAATCAAAACGTGTAAAAACTGTACTTCAGACAGTGTTAGAGAAAAATTCTTACAAGAAGCCTGTGAGTATTAAGCAACTTCTTTTGGGATCATTTCTGGAACTTCTCCTTGCAAAGACTGTGGCCACCTGTGCCAGAAATCTCTTACACTGCTGTAAATATTTTATTAATATGTAGCCTGTTGTTTTCCCCTCCTACAACATGTGCCAGGGAACTGCTCTACATCCTTGCATGGCCCATGTGTGTGATTGGAAGTGGGTTCTTTGATTTTCCAAATTGAGTGGTGATGTCTGGCTCCTGTAAGGCTTTAGAATCAATTTTGGAATGTCTGATCCTCTACTTCATTCTTTTTTCTTAATGAATTAAAAAAAAAACCACATCACTTTCTCCAGTTTATTGCTTTGGAAGGTCAGGTAGTTGCCCTTGCTAGAAATGTTGTGTCTAAGAGAGATCTGTTTGAAAATTCAGAATTAAAAACTCTGCTAGAATAAGCCATTTTTCTGAATAATTGCCCACAAATGTTGCATTCCCCAAGTAGCACATTTCATGTGTGGAGGAAGGCTTTTTGTTGGGGTGAATAGGAACAGAAACTTTTTTAAGGATTTTAAAGTTACTGATTCCTCTATTGTTTGGTTTTGCAAGCAAATTAGGATATGGCACTTGAGCCTTAATTTTTGCATATTATCCCCTGCTGTTGTATACCTCTAAATGTTGTAAAGATATTGTATTTTATCAGTAAAGTAATTGGTTGTGGTCAGATGTTACAGTATATTTTATTCACTAGTCCTTTATTCAAGGAGTTTTTTCAACCCCTTCAGAAGACCTGTGTTAATAGCTAATGGATTCTCATTTTTGAATGTCTGATTTTTTGTAAATTACTGTAATTTTTTCCATTGCATTTCTGTCTGTTGGAACAGTAAATACCATTGCTTACAGTAATAACTCAACAGTCACAAGGTAGGCTGCTGTCTCCTGGCAGTGTAGAAAATAATTGCTCATTGAATGCTCCTTATTATGCTTCAAGTTTGACAGATTAGGAAATGCTGCTGTAGTCGACACATAAATAATACTTTTCAATTTTGATTTAATAGTTTTGCCATTTCTTCTTCCTCTTTTTCATTCTAATTCCCATCTGTTGCCTTTGTCTTGTGTTCAGACTGCAAATTTGCTCAAAACAGTTGCTTACTTCACTGAATTTATACATTTATTTCCTAATATTTTAATATTAGGAATATTAAGATATTTTGAGGTTTGCCTATGGTGGAGTTTTCAATGCTGAAAAGATTTAGCGGCTGTTATTGCCTGTATGACATTTCATGTTATTTATTCCCTAAGCTATGTCAATGATAGGGGTTTTTGCTTTATTGCAATTTTCCTGTATTATTCATAACAGTAATATTTTAAAGAATATATTATCTCCCATAAAGTTTCTTGTCAGGAAGATATGTTACTAAACTATTATAATTTTTGGTCTTATAAATACGATTGTCCAAGGATTTTTTTTGGGGGTTGCTGTGTATCCATGCATGTGCAGAAGTAGAGAATGCAGAGCTCATCAGAATATAAATCCAAAAACACCTCCTGGTTTTAACTTGTGGTTTGTGTAAAGCAGGAAAAAATGGTTTTTATTTTTGCCTAACTTGAGGCAGGACTCTTTATCAGGGAAGGCAGGGATAGAACCAAGGGTGATGGGTTTACCTTGAAAGAGGGCAGGTTAAATTTGATTTTAGGATAAATTCTGTGATGAAGGTGTTGAGGCCCTGGCACAGGTTGCCCAGAGAAGCTGTGGCTGTCCCATCCTTGGAGGTGTTCAACACCAGGATGGATGGGGGCTTGGGGCCTGCAAGCTGGGAAGTGTCCAAGGCAGGGGGATTGGAACTGCTTGGTCTTGATGGTCCCTTCCAACCCAGACCATTCTGTGATTCTGTGATTCCTATGTCATACTGCATAAAGCACACTGTGGCTGTGCTGCCAGGACTGAAATTTACTCCATGGGAAATAAAATGATGTAATGATTAGATAAGGTTTTTGTCCATGTCATAATCTGGCAAACATGTTTTTTCCAGTAATTGAATTATACAGACTGTTTTTACCTCCTCTTCCAGTACAAAGGCACAGATTAACTGGTTGTGCACTGGTTTGACAGGTTATTTTATTAATTTAGGTTATGTCCATAACCAGATCTGGGGCTGAGAGGCAGAGCCTGACCTGACTGGCACTTTCCACAGCAGTTTGCATTTTTGTGAGTGCAGACCAGCAGAGCTCAAGCAATCAGTGTTTGTTTCTACCTGCCCTCAGCACATGGAATGACCAGAAATTACTGCTTGCAACAGTTGTTTAAAGTCTATGATTATCTCCTCTGCTCATGGGCTAAATGCTTAACCAACAGGAGGTTTTTATTTTGCAGAAAGCTTTTATGTAATGCACTGAATTCTTTGCTTTCCTTTCAGTAACAATGCGTCAGTTTGATCACCCCCACATTGTGAAGCTCATTGGGGTTATTACAGAAAACCCAGTCTGGATAATCATGGAGCTCTGTACACTTGGAGAGGTATGAGAAATCCTCGTGCAGCTCTGCTCTCCTCTCTTTTAGCTCATAGAAAAGGCTGAAAAACCACTTCACAATAGTAACACATGCTATCAAGCATGATATCATACTCTCTGCAGAGTTATGGACTCAGAAACAGGAGTGGCAGCTTTTGACCTTCTCCTCCACCAGGGGAACTGCATCACCTCATTCCAGAGTGATTTAGTCAGAGTTTTCAGAGCATTCAATTGCAGTTCCAGAGTGAGAGCATGACCTCTGTCAAGATGATGATAATGTGATAATCAGTTAAACAGCATTTGCAAACATACCTTCCAGAAGTAAACTGTACATCTTTTATTCTTCCTGAGTAATGCTGCATTTTCCCTTGAAACACTGACTTTCTTATGTTGGGTTTTTTTTTCCTGTAGAATATCTGCAGCAGGGGATCTAGATAAGATGACTTCCCTCATTATTATGTTTTTTGGATGTATGCTTTAAAGAAAACGAGATCTCACTTTTTATAATTGATTAGTTTTCTTTGAGCCATGTTTCTGAAAATGTGAGCTGCAGTGATATTTCATACAACATTATATGATTGTCATTGTAATTATCAAACTGCAGTGCATTTTCCAAAATACAATAGGAGGGATGGATAGAAAAACCTGTAGTGGAGAACTCATTTTCTGTCAATAGATTTCCTTTTCAGTGACCAAATCACTTTTCAAAGCCTTGTTTTGATCGATAAGGACACTCTAATGCCACCTTCCAGTAGGTTCTGCCTGCCTTATACTGGGAATAGAGCTGACAAATATTCTGTGCTTATATATACTCTGAGCTAAATACAGTTGTTTTAGCACATGTAGGTTAAAACTAATTATTAAAATGAATGCTTCTAAAACAATACTGATCAGTCTATGTTTGGGCTGGCCAGGTCCTGTTCAGTTCTGAAGTGATTTAGGCCATAAATGGAGGCTGCACTCAAGGGTAGAAAAAACCAAAAAGTCCAAGCGTGCTTCACTCTCCAACAGCAACAGCAGATGCTTTTCGAAAGGAGACTGAAAGGAATGCACAAAATTACAGTTATCTTTTTAGTTTAACAGTTTTCATGTGGAAATTAAATTGTAAGGCAGTCACAATTCTTCATGAGAAGTGATTTTCTTTTCCTCATTCGGCCTTTAAGGCAAGGAAGTCATGCCCATTGATAGTCATGTAAACTTCACAGTTTGAAATATGCCTTTTTCAGCTTTGTTATTTTCTTGTCCTAATTTCTTTCTCTTTTTTCCTCCTTGGTGCAAAAAGCTGAGGTCGTTTTTGCAAGTAAGGAAGTACAGCTTGGACCTGGCCTCTCTGATACTCTATGCTTACCAGCTTAGCACAGCTCTTGCCTACTTAGAGAGCAAAAGATTTGTACATAGGTAAGATTTCATACTTATTTATCTGTACCTGTCTCTTTTTATATGTCACTGCTCATACATTTTAGGGAGTGTCATTTTTGCAGAGGTTTCCACTAAAATGACACCCTTTTCAAGGGTGACACCTGCTGGTTCACTCCTGGATTGACTTGGAGCTGGTGCCAGATTTCAATCGGAATCATTTTCAGTTGTTGCTTTGTGGTTACAGTATTTTTTCAAGCTGTGAGTCAACTGTAATCATTCAAATACAGAAAAGCAAAACAAGGGCAGATGGCTTCTTAAGTAAAGAGGAGGGGAAATAAAATATTTATAAAATGCAAGTACTTGCTTAACCAGAAAATGAACCTAAATTTCCTTCATGGTGTGTTTTGAATTTTACTTCCTTGAATGTGAACATGAGTTTTTAATGAGAAGAGACTGGCTTCAACCTCTTATTGTGTGCAACTAAGAGTTCATAAAACTCCAGTTATGAAGTAGAATTAATTCTAAACTTAAGCAATTCCCTCATGTTTAAATACTGACTATATAATTCTATATATGTTGTGGTAATGTATAAGCAAACACTTGCATGTAAAGTAATAGCTATGCATAGATATGTAGATATTTATGTTAAAACATGTAAATAACAATGGGTGAGAAAATGAGGCTCAGGGGGGATCTTGTTGTTTTCTGCAATGAGAACTTGAGCTCCTTACTAGGAAACCTCCTACAGGACTGCAATCCTAAACCAATTCCTTACCTTTGCAGGGCAGGAGATAAATTTTCTTCAAGTGATGATACTTCACAACTTCATATTTTGAAATTACTAGAAATACTGTTTCTTCTGTTTGGCAGGGATATTGCTGCTAGAAATGTGCTGGTGTCTACCACTGACTGTGTGAAATTGGGTGACTTTGGTTTGTCCCGATACATGGAAGACAGTACTTACTACAAAGGTGAGGGCACCTCTGGATCCTTCTTGCAGTGAAAACACAGTTGCTTCTCACATTGCTGAGGAATTAACCAGATTTCCTTGGTCTAGCTGGTGCATTTGTATAAAAAGGCAAGTTATTCAACACTTAATTAATGGCAGTAAATTCCTATGTGTGCTTAAGAAGAAGGATTACAAGGTGTGGTTTAAGGTGCAAAAAGGATCAAATTCACATGTAGGTTCAGATGAATGCTGAGTCTGTGTTGTCATTGCATGCTGCATACTTCAGATGCCATTGCACCAGGGAGAGTCAGTACAAAACTGCTTTTGAATGCTACTTTTGCCCCATTTTGGATGGAATACTGAGCTTTGATGTCTCCAGCAGCTGAGAGATGTCCTGCAGTGCCTGAGAGATGGGAAATGCAGCAAGAAATTAAAAATTGCATGTTGGGTCCCAAACAGTAGCATTCCAAAACTGGTGTATGTTATTAAACCATGACTATATAAATCTCATCTTTAATATTTTTCTGGTTTCATGTATTTTAAATTATCCATTATCTGTCCCCTTACACTCTGTTGTGTTTCATCATTTTATTTGTCTCACTTTGCTGGGCTACTTTTCATCTTTTTAATTGCTAAGAGGGGAAATAATTTTGACATGATCATTTCTTGGTGTGTTTTGGGGTTTGTTATTGGGGTCTTTAAGGGAGGTTTGGGAGATTATTATTATTATTATTTTGGGTTTTGTTAGTTCATTTTCCATTTCACGTAAAGCTAAACAGCTTATATATCAATATTTGAAGTACTTCACTGGAGATTGGTTTTGTCTATGAATTATTTCTCTGGGAACAGAATCTATTTTTGAGCTCTGTAGTGGGGATAACAGCCTGCTCTCTCTTGCCTTCCCTGTAGCTTCCAAAGGAAAATTACCCATCAAATGGATGGCTCCAGAGTCCATCAATTTCCGACGGTTTACCTCAGCTAGCGATGTGTGGATGTTTGGTAAGTGAAAATCAAATTGGGAGGGTTCTTTGTGTCCTCTTGGATAAGCCCAGTGTTGATTTTGACTGCTATAAATGAATAATTTCCAAATATTTGTCACAGTTTTTACTGTGCATTCTGAAAATGCAGTTTCTTCCAGTGTATTTTTCTTTCCTTCTCCTGCTCAATAAGCCTGAATTTTCATGAATTTTTTACTTCTGGTAAGAAGCTGAGAGAAATGAAAGTGCAAGGAAATTAGCTCATAGTTATGACAGAGATTATTTTTGTCTGTTGGTTTTGGTTTGGTTTTTTTGTGTAATACCATTGTCATTTGCTATTTCTCTGTTGCATTTTGACTTTTTCTTTATGTTGATATACATTTCCTTGCTTAATGTGCAGTCATCCTATGAGATACCCAATTTCCAGATCCTTAATGCTGGATTCTTTAATGCGAAATTAAAATAATTAATTTGTCTTTTATAGCTCCTGGCCTCTTACAAAATACAACCAGAAGCTCATTAAATACAAGGGTAAATAGACATGTCCTGAAACCTTTATCTTTTTTCCCAAATATACAACATTTTATAATAATCTAATGTTCTGTGCTCCAGCTGGTGCTGACTGCTGGCCTGTACAGACAGAATACAAAAGTGATGAGACTTGAAATAAGAGCAGGATAATGAAGTAAGAGTTAAATTTAAAATTTGAATGTTTTTAAGTGAAGGGTTTATAATATTTGAAGAAAACTCTAGTACTGTCATAGTTGGAAAAATGAAGCCTATGGAACATTTTGGCCAATTCTAGAGTGACAGACCACGTTCTTCTAATGCAGTTTCAATAGAAACTGGTTAATTACACATTTTCAGCACAAAAAATGTGGATCAATGCCAACCTTAAAAACCCTCAAAGTGAAAATACACTCTACATGTCGGAACAAGCCAGTTGGAAGGAGTCAGAGGGAAAAGCAAATACATTCTACCTCATCAGAGAGGAGATTTGAATATGAGCAAGCAGTGGTTTAGGGCAGGTAAAAGACTGTGTGAGGCAGCTGTGGGTCCCTGTGCCTCATCAGGAGGTGAGGCTGGTGCTGTGTGTGTGATCCTGCTGCAGGTAAGTCCAAACCAAGTCCCTGGTTATGTATTTTAGAAGAAATTGCATTATTAGTACAAAACTGGGGTTTGTTTCTCTTTGGACAGCTCCCATTGTTTGCTCACAGTGAAGAAGGTGTGGTTTTGTGTGTGTTCCTCAGGTGTGTGTATGTGGGAGATCCTCATGCACGGGGTAAAGCCCTTCCAGGGAGTGAAGAACAATGATGTGATTGGGCGGATCGAGAACGGTGAGCGGCTCCCAATGCCTCCAAACTGCCCTCCCACCCTCTACAGCCTTATGACCAAGTGCTGGGCCTACGACCCCAGCAGGAGACCCAGGTTTACTGAACTTAAAGCACAACTCAGGTAGGGTTTGACTTCTGAGAGGTCATTTCCTTTGTTCAGAAATATTTCTTTGCGCTTTATCTTCTGTTACGGTGTTTTGGTTCTGTGGAAAATGCGAGGTGCAGCGTTCGGAGGTTTTATCTTCAAATGGCCAGGTTGTTGCTGGTCTTTGGGAAAACTGGGCTTTATCTGGTAGAGAAAATGAGATTAGGCAGTAAATTCAAATAACTGGAAATAGGAATCACCTCCTTTCTCTCCCAAGAAAAACTCCACGTTTTACTAGCAATTTGTTTATAATTTTAGCTACAATCCTTGGGGAAGGAGGTAAAAAGAATTTAGAGGGGTTATCTAAACAAATATGCTGTGGGCTTCTGGGGTAGAGACGTATTTTGAATAAATAAAGCATCAGATTAGTGCTGTTGGAAGTTACTTTCATGACATGTAGCACCATAGTTGCAGAGTCACAGCTGTCACAGGGCAATTGCAGAGCCTGCAGTAAATGCAGCATCAGACAGAAATTCCTTTGCCCTTTGTAAACCAGGATATAAATTATCTTTGTGTTTATCTTGGAATGAGTGTGAGCACACACCTTGCAGAGCAGTCTAAATTCACACCTTAGTTTATTCTGCAGTAATATATTCCACTGTCTGTATCACCATTTCACCAGCCCCAAAGTGGGAGGGATATTTAGGCTTTGAAACATCACTGAGATAATGTGCAGGCACATTTGATATTTGTGACCAAATTGGGCCACAGATGTTGTGACTTTTGGATTTCATGACTGCTCAGGATGTATTTTGCATAAGTCAGTACAAGCTTTGAGTAACACTTAAGTTTTGCTCACTGGCAATCCACACTGGGAATTCTTGTAATTCACTGTTGAATTCTTTGGTTTTACTTCAGGTTTTGTTTCAAAGCTGTGCTTTGTGGCATGTTTTATTTTCATAGTACTATGTTTTTGCTGTCACTGAATGTTCATGGTTTGAGATAATTCACTGGTGGTTAAAATGAGAGACAATTTGAATGTAATTATGATGTTATCTCAGAGCTGCTGCATGGAGAGCTGGAAGACCTTAAAGTTTTTCCCTAATTCTTAACATTTCATACAGTTCCACGATCTGTTACTCTGGGAATTCCTGTGTAGTCTAATAATTTGCAGAGCTAAGGAAAGACTTGACCCTTCTCACAGATAACTTCCTATCCTCTTGACTGTGTGGAGGTAACACAAAGGGAGGAATGTCAGGGCTGGGTAGGGATTGCAAGAAAAAGATGTGACACTGTTGTGTGATTAGGGTAATAGGTGGAAATTGGCAATTCGGTTGCTTTTTGTGTCTTTTTGGCTCTGAAAGTACAGGATGATTGATAAATTGCAGCCAGGTTATACTGTTAAAACTGGTTGGCACAGATGAGAATGAAGCCCTTAAAGGAGTGGAAGATGACTGTGGTGTGTAAAGCCAAGCAGGGAGAGTATCTCACCAGGAAGGAAAGAGGATGAGTAAATCCAGAGTGTGCCCAAGAGCCTGGCTCTCCTCAGAACCAGCACTCAGGGCATGCAGCAAGGCAGGGTCTCGTTGGTTACACATCAAAATGTTTCCCAGTGTGCTTGGGTGAGCTCTGAAACAGGTCACCCAGAAAGACTCTGGAATTTCCATGCTGGCAGACATTGAGATTTTGGTTGGAAAAGGCTCAGAGCACCTGGCCCTTGCTGTGCAGGGAGCCCAGCTTCAGCAGGAGATCAGACTTGAGACCTCCAGGCACCCCTTCCATCTCATTCTGCATGAAAAGTGCACCCACTGTGGAGGGGTGTTTGCTCCTCTGGTCATGCTGGGAGATTTGAAGCATGGTTTACAGGGCAGCCTCTCTGCTGGGGCAACCCTAAAATCCAGTTTTCACTCTGTTCCCACCAAAACTGGGAACTTTCTGCCTCACCAAACTGGTGACCTTTATCTCCCAAATTTAGGCAACATGGTTGTCCTTAGGGCTGCTTTTTGCTGCTCCAGACAGAGCCAGCCTCTCACTGGAAAGGTTGCCAGTTCCCTGATGATGAGGCAGTCTCAGGCAGCTAGGCAGGATTGGGTTTCAGAACTCAAATTCCCATGAACTTGCAAAAACAGTCTGTTTCCCTGGTGGCCTTTCCTGTGGTGTTGCTGCTGCTCGTTCTGGATGCTGTCCAGAGCAGTCTCTTCAAGCTGAGAGCAGCCTGGATGTTTGCTTGGAGCCAGATACAGCACTGCAGCATTCATTCCTCTCTGGTTTAATGAAAAAAACTTCATGGCTTTGGGAAAAATCTTCTGCATCTGGAATAGCATAGATGGGAGTATAAACAGTTCACATGCTCTCTGTTATTTGGTGCTTTTTCTGTTTCATAGTAACAGCTGCTTTACCCAAACTGAATTTGCAGCTGATTGTGCAAGGCAAAGGTGCTGATTTCTGCACAATTTATGCACTGTTATTTGTTGCTACATATGAATTTAAGTACTGTTATTAGAGTAGTAATTTTATAGCATTTGATCTGTCTGAAGTGGATGTGGTTGAGTCAGTCTTCCCAGCAAACACAGAAACAAATGGGTGGATTGTGGATTTCCAAATGTAATTTATCATTGCATTCCAAGTCTCCTTTTCAAATGGTGGGGGGGTTAAAAGTCAGATTAGGTCAGGGCAGTGAGGTAGTGAGGTGCTACCCTGCTACTCCTGCAATTCTGACTTGGTCAGAATTAGAATATAGGATTCTTTTTAATTGGGAAGTGTTGTGTTGCCTAGCTGGTTTTGTGTTGAAGAGATTTTTTGTCTTGCAAAATAATATAAATAATATAAATGGTAAGCAATTTGTAAATGGTAAATTATATAAAAGGATTTTAACTTTAAACTTTCAAATTAATGTCATTTCATTACTTTTTTCCCTGTGTCTTAGAACAAATTTCATTTAAAGTACTTTCATGAACCCGCTCTGCTACAAATAGCAAAACAAGGAGCAGTTATGTCATTACAGAGGTGACAGTGTCACTGAGGCCCATTGGTGGTCACAGGTTTTACAGAGTGCTTCACCCCACTGGTGTCCTGGGGCTGCAGGTCACATTGAAACAGCTCTAAAAAGAATGGGGGGAAAAAGAGACAGATACTATGCTTTTAAAGTCTGGTTTTATGACAACAATGAGATAATTAACTGATGAGAGCTGGACTTGAGTCTTTTTGTCACTGCATTTGATGTAGATCCTGAAATGTTGTTTATAAATGAAAATTGGTAGGGCTGAGGGCAGTTTTGAGTCTTCTTTTATGGCATTCTGATTAAAAAAAGACTGTAACACATACTTCAAATACATGATGGAGGCTGCAAAATGCTTTGCTGTTCTTCTGTTCTTTGCCTGTGACCATTAAGAATAGTCCATAATCCATATAAAAAGTGCTTTCATATTAGAACAATATTGCAAGTATGTTCCTCTGCATCCAACTTAGTATTTCTGGTGGCAAAGGGAAATAAAGAAGCTGCATTTTGTGGGTCAGCACTTGATGTAGGTTCCCACACCACTGTAGCAGGAGACACTGGTGCTGCTTTGCCTTTTTGGAATATGAGGATATAGTTTAGTATTTTAAATATTCCTACACTGGAGGTCCCCATAAATGTTTCCTTTTTGCTGTCACAGGCCAATTTCAGTAAGAAGTTCTTTGTAAATTATGTAAGTGTATCAATTATGAAAACTTTTAATAGTTGAAATTTTTCTTGAGCCTTCACCTCACAGAGAAGTTGAGTTAAATTTGTCTGTGCTACCTCAAGGTTTGCTAGGGGAACCACAGGGATAGAATTCTCTGCTTGCTCCTCTTTGCTGCTAAAAATATGTGCAGTTTGGGAAAATATGCCTAGATCTGACTTCTCCTGACCTTCTGCAAATTCTAATAAACTGTTCAGAGAACTTGAGCAGCTGCACTGAGGAAACGTCAAAAATATCTCTTGGCACACTCTTCCTTCATCCACAGACCGGTCTTCCCTTTGTGAAAACAAAGACCTTTCTGTGAGTCATTTCTATTCCTTGTGGTTTTTTCTAGTAGTGCTTCTCTGAGGCATTTCTATTTTATATTCTTGTCAGCAGAATCAAGGGCATCCAAGTACAGATGCTGCTGCAGCCCATCAGCCTCTGGCCAGGCTGCTCTGGGCTGCTGGGAAAGAACCTCCTGATGGCACGAGCAGGGAGGATGAACTGCAGTTGTAAGGCAAAAAGCTGAGCCTGTGTTAAGAAAAAGAAGTCATTTCAAAAGAAATTTGTCATTTCTGGTGATACATGATGATGGTGTTGCACACTGGGGCACCACAGATAAAATGGCTTTGATAGCAAAGCAGAGGTATTGGGGTTTCATTCCTTTTTATGGAAAACCAGGACTGTGCTGTGACAAATTCCACACATGGCCCCAAATTGTCAGTAAGCCATCTCTAAATTTAGCCAGCTACTACCAGCCAACTCCATTCTATTCTTTTGTTCAGATTAGAGCAACTGCTGTACCAACAGCTTGGTTAAAAACCTACATTTTATTCATTTCTCTTTCATTAATCTGGGCACACTTTTTTTTTGTCTTATTTTGTTCAGGCGTTTTTTAATCCTTCTCTTGAAAGATGATAATCATGGTTCATGGCTGTTGGCTGCTTTCTCATGCTGCATAAAAATCCAGGATACCTGAAGTGTGAGATTGCTTTAAAGCAGGGGTTTTGTGCCAGTTCTTCATGGGTTCAAGCAGAAAATCTTGCATTTTCCTTATTCTGAAGGAAGAGAGAGGTAAAATAGAATGATTCTCTCTTCATTCCCTCTGCTAGGCTGTAGCTGTGTTTCCATGGTAGTTCTAGCAGGGTGACTTTTACAAATAACTTGTCTGATTTTGCTTTTGTTCCACATTCTTGTGTTGCTTCAGCAATGATGGATTGAAATTGCAGCAATAGTTATAAACTTGATTTAGCTGCAGCGAGACAAGCTTCTCTGCTTTTTAGAAGTGGCATGGTTTGGGGTTTTTTTGGCTGAGTAAGGGAAACCAAAGTTCTTGTCTCCAGCGGGAATTTATCCTTGAAATGAGCAGTGAAGTTTCACGATGAGAATAGATTGCTGGAGTTGATCTCATCCCCTGAATGAGTAATTCTGGGTGGTTGTTTAGCAGACTGAACAGGAGATTATAAACTCAGAACTTAGCTTTGTTTCTGGAAACTCCTGAGTGATAAAGAAACTGGAGTAGCTCCTCCACAGGATTGTCTTTACCCTGGGGACAGTGATATGGAAATAATCTGCCCTGCTCACATCTCCAGAGCGTCCGCGTAGCGTGCGGCTCCAAGGAATTGGCAGCTCCCTCTTTCAAAGCTTCTCTCTGAGTCTTTTTCAAATGGCAAATATCCAACATTAATAAGCCACATAGCAGAGCTGGGAGGAGGCTGGCTGTGGGGGCAGCAGGAGCACGTTCAGCTTCAAACAGGCTTTTTAATAGTCAGAACAGTGGTAAGTAGCAAACTGGTTTTACTACTGTCTTGTACTTTGTGAAAATGCAGCCTTTTGACCTGAATGCTTAGAAGCTGAGTGAATAGTGTCAGATCTTTCTGTTTTGCTAAATTGCTTTGCTGAATGTGTTCCTGGTTAGGCTAAAACGTAAGAGCTGAAGAAGTATTTTTGACTGCTTTCTTTCAAAAAAAGAAAAAAAAAATCCCAGTGATCTGAAGCTCTTGAGTTTCAGTAAAGAACATTTTCGGTTTGTTTTGAACCTTTGCAGCAGTTCAGTAGAATATTTTCTTGTGAAGATTAAGCTTTCATGCAAGTAAGTGCTTGATTGATTGTCTTTGAGGACTTCTCTGTGTAATTGCACATAAAAAGAACTGTTATGGAAAAAAAATTGTGTGTGAGATCAACCACAGCTTTCTGAAAATTGATGCTGTTTTCATTGTTAAAAGCACCCTGGTAATCCTACAGAATTATTTCTTCCTGATACTGGTTTTCAGGCACAAAACCAGTGTATGTAAAATAAGTTTGGCTCTCAGTAGTTTTATAGCATTTCAAGTTAAGTACTGTTTATTAGTCTGAAAAATGCAAGAGCTGTGGGGAGAGGTTTATTAGTCACTGAAACTGGAGTTTTGCTTGATTGCAATGTGTTTTCCTTAGTACAATACTGGAGGAAGAGAAGCTGCAGCAAGAAGAACGAATGAGAATGGAATCCAGGCGACAAGTCACGGTGTCCTGGGACTCAGGAGGATCAGATGAAGCTCCTCCCAAGGTAGCTAAGACTGCAAATTACATGTGTTTTACAAGAAACAAACAAAAACTTGCTTTTTATTCTGTTTATTTCTTCAGAGCCTGCCCTGATGGGTTGGTTCAAACCACGGCATTTTGGCCACTTCTGTCCCCATCTGGGAATCTTTGCCTGAAATGACCCAGCTCTGTTTGAACTGTGCTTAGAACTGATCTGTGCTGTGATACTGCTTTAAAGATTTTCTGTTTCTACTTGAAATTGTAAAAAAACCCCAGAGCTGCCACAAAACTGTCTCGTGGCTTTTCCTTTTCCTTCTTGCTTGTAGCACTCCTGTAAATTGTTGGCTAATGAGCTCTCAGGCCAGCATGAAGTTTATTTATAACACATTAGTGACAGGACAGGAGTCAGCTAATTGCATTTTCCTTCTTCTGGACAGAAATGAGGGGTTTGTTTCCAAGGAACGTACGTGGTTTAGTTTCCACTTCATTTTCATTTCTGTCCTGTTTGGATGTCACTGATGGCTTCTGCAGCTGTGGGAGTCCAACCCCACCAGTTCCCTCTCACTCTGCTTCCCTTCAGAGTTATTCTTGCAAGCTGTTGCTTGAAAGTTCAAGCCTGTATTTTGAAGAATTTAAATTTTGTGCAGTCACCAGCGTATTGTCTGTGTCCTGATAGTTTGTGGTGAATTCCTGGAACTCCCAGGTTCTGGAATAATAATTTATTAATAATAATTCTGATAATAATTCCAGGAGTACTTGTGTGGCACCTTGTGCTGCACACATTCCCCAGCACTCATAGAAAGGCAAATTTTGTTTTGGTTTGAGGGGAGAGGGAAGGTTTTTGTTTGTTTGGGGATTTTGGGGTGTTTTTCTTTCCATTTCCAGGTGGTTGCCTGATAGATCAGATTTCTGAGCTTAGTTCTGCATTTTGGTACCTTGATGGCAAATAGAAAATGTGGGCAGTGGAATTGCTGCTTTCATTTCAGAGTTAGAAACAGCAAACAATCTATCAAGCTGTTCAGTCATCTGAGATGAATTAGCAGGATTTGGTGTTTATCTAAACAATGTTCCAAGTTACAGAAGCAGATAAACTGCATAAATTGGACCAGTAGAATGCTTAATTTGAAATGAGCACCTTTGTGTGTGATGTATGAACTGAAACACTTGACCAAAGGTGTGTTAAAAATGCAGTTAATTCTTCCACTGGAGAGAATCTGTTTTGAGGGGCTTGCTATGTCCTTGTAGAAATACACTGTATTTCTGATGCTGTTGTTGGTTAGGTTTTTTTATACATTCCTTTTGTGTAAAATATGGATGTGTTTAATAATGGCATTGGAACAAGTGGAATCTTGTAGGTATGAGGTTTTAAGTGTCTCTTTAATTATTATCTAATTTTTTAATGTGACAACTGATTTTTTTTATTCTTCTGCTGATTCATTGTAAGTGTTGCAGATTGTTGCAGGTATAAAACTCCTGCACATACTCAAACAATTCCCAGGTCTCACAATCCATGCTCTGAGATCACTTGTATCTCACAGTGATATTTCTGATAGAGCCCTGAGACAGAAAACATCCTAGTCCAGAATGAGAGTGAATGTATTCATCAAGCAATGATAAATTCTGCAGTCTCCAACTGATGTGGTTGCCTTTAACTGCCAGAAGGACTGAGAGAGCCCTTTGCAGAATGATGAAGTTTGGGGGTTTTTTCCCTCTTTGGTTAATTTTTCTCCTCCTGAAATACCCAGCAATGCTGTTCCTTATTCAAAAAGAAACCCTCAGCTATACCTTTGGAGATTCAGAGTATGATCAAAAGCACTTTCCATGTTGAGGTAATTAGTTACCCAGAAATTAATAATCAGAACTATCTTTATACCTCAGAACACCACATGGAAATAGCCATGCAAATAAATCCATTTGGTTTGTGTTATTCTTACTGAAACAAAAGAATTTACTTCTGAGAACAGTCACAAAAGCAGCAAATTAACAGCAAAAATTGGAAACAAGGCTGTATTGCACCTGGAATTTTGATTTAAGACTTAGGTTCTTAGATGATGTTCTCTCTAGAGTTGAACAGAACAGAGCAGGTCATTGAGTGCAAGCAATTAAATAAATACAAAGAATTCATAGAGCAAGAATTATTTATTGACATACTGAGCAAACAATTCAGCTGCATCCGCTGCCAAGCAAAAATGGAGGAAAACTTATAACTTAATTTTAGTTGTTTAAAAAAAGTATTTGTAGTTATAGAAAATCTGTTTGGGGGTTATTTTGAAGTTTGCCAAACCTGTAAATGTTCGTTTCACCGAAACATAATTTTCTGTGTTTAGTTGTGTGTGTTTAATGATTCTAAAAATTCTGTTTTCTTTACAGCCCAGTAGACCTGGTTACCCCAGCCCCAGATCCAGTGAAGGGTTTTATCCAAGCCCACAGCATATGGTACAGCCAAATCATTACCAGGTATTACATTTAATACCATGAGTGTCTGGTTTTTTTTACAAATGTGGGTTTAGATGCAGCTGGTGGGATTGATGCACTTCTTTCATGGTTTATTTTAATTCACTTCAGTTCTGAGTTTTGTTTTACATAGGAAAAAAAAAATCCAAACTGAGCCTGGTAGTTTTACTCCAGATGGTAAATATTTCCACATCTGATGTGGTGCTCAGATTCCTGAAACTGCAATGAAACACTTCAGACATTTCCATATTTATTGAGGGAATGTGGTGTTCATGTTGACATTTGTGCTGAGCTGTGAAATCACTGGCTTCATAAAATGGCATTAACTGGGGGCCTTTCCTTGGGGTCATTGGTATTTTATTTTCTGTGTCCTGGTAGCTGCTGCCTTTAGCCCTACCATGTTGTATACTCACAGGTTTTGCTTTTCTTCTAAAACTGCTGAAGAAATTCAGAACAAAAGTTTGTCTTTAAAGGACTTGGAGCGATTTTAGGTTTGTCCAAGGCTACAGCCACATTACAGCTGTCTCAGTCAAGGGGATTTTTTTCCATGAAGAGAGGGAGGTTTTCATTGATTTAATAAGTACTTCAGGCTCATTAAAACTACTTGGATTTTCCTGTGGAGAAGTTCCCAGGCCACTCAGCTCAGCACACTAATTACATGCTGCCACTCAAGCCTTAAGCCTGTAAGATACAGCAGGGGGTACATTTTTATGGGGCTCTGTAGGGTGATGTTTGCAGGCTCCTATTAACTGGAACATGAGCTCTGCATGTGGAACTCTTACATATGTATCTATAGATTGAGTTTTGTCCTCAGAGGAGTTTGATCTCCTTGCCTGCAGAGGTTAGAGCATGCTGTGATGCTGCTGGTTTGATAGGCACCATTAAATACTTATCCTCAAAAGCTGTATTTGTGTCCTATTGCAGTTATTCTAAAATACTTATGTTATGATGAGCATCCTCAAAGGCTTAAAACAGAGGTGTCATATTTTGGCTCAGCTTCCTTCTTCTGATGTTGCTTCTCCTTCTTCCTCTCAGTGTCTGCTTGAATTGAGTAATTTCTGTGCTTTCATGTCTTGGAGGGGATGTTTCCATCATGGGGAAGCACAGGTCTTACTAATATCTCTGTTTTTCTCTTTGTTTTTGCCCCTGTGGGGTTTTTTGCCCCCTTAAGGTGTCTGGCTACCCTGGTTCTCATGGGATACCAGCCATGGCAGGCAGCATTTATCCTGGGCAGGCTTCTCTCCTGGATCAAACAGATTCCTGGAACCATCGCCCTCAGGAAATATCAGTGTGGCAACCAAACATGGAGGTAGGAGATCTGACACATCTGCTACTGTGTTCTGTACACTTCAGTGCACTTTTTATTATTATAAATTGTATTACTTCTATTATTTAGGTAGATCTGTTCCAGGAGAAACTGAGTTTTTCTGGTGCTTTTAAAATTGTCTCACTGCAGTGGACTGGGAGTCAGGACTGAATTGTTTTTTAAACAAATCCTTCTATGTGAGGCTGGGTCTTGTATTGTCTGAGACCTCTGTTGAAGGGAGGAATGATGAACATGACTCCATGTTCTTAGAAGGCTAATTTATTATTTTATTATCTATATTATATTAAAGAACACTATACTAAACTATACTAAAGAAAAGAGAGAGGATACAGACAGAAGGCTAAAAGATACTAAAGAAAAACTCATGACTCCTTTCAGAGTCCCAACACAGCCTGACTGTGATTGGTCATGAAGTCAAAAACAATTCACATTCCAAAGCAGCAAAACACAGGAGAAGCAAATGAGATCATATTGTTTTCCTTTTTCTCTGAGGCTTCTCAGCTTCCCAGGAGAAGAATCCTGGGCAAAGAGATTTTTCAGAAAATATGACGGTGACAGCTGGGCATGAAGTGTCACCTCACATGAATTCTTGATGAGGTTGTTACTACTTATCTAACTGAGTGATAGCAAATATTTGTTCTTTGTTAAGAGAAGGCTTTACTGGAACTTACTGCTGTTCACAGAGATGGGAACACTCATAAAAAAAAACCTCTTGGGAGATACCCAGCACAGCTGAAGGATTGAGGCTTCTTTGTGACTTACCCAGAAGAGAAAATGAGAGGGTCTGAGAGATTGTTCCTGAGCTGAATTCCTTCTGGGTGCTCTCCAGCCTGTCATGATTGCACTGAGTTGCTGAGGAAAATCAAATTAATTCCCCCTTTAACCTTCTGTCTTTTTTTTTCTGTTCTCCACTGTTGTACATTTTTTTTATTCCATTTTTTCCTTCCACAAAGATTCAGTTTGTGCAGCTTCTGTCTTAATTTTTTTTTCTTCTCTAACCAGCTCTATTCCCTGTGTTCCTGATAAACATTTAAGTGGTCTCTGAAATACAGAGAACTTTGTTACCAAATTTCCCTTGGCTTTTAAAAAAATACTGATTTATACACTATTTCTTAATGATTTCCAGGCAGCATTGGGGTATGGTATGTGGAGTATTTATAAGCTTAAGACAGGCATAAATATTTGGTCAGAAATTCGTTAAAAAATGTTTTTGTGACATGGTTTGTAAGCTTAAGACAGCCATAAATATTTGGACAAAAATTCATTAGAAATGTTTTTGTGACATGCTTTGCCACTGTTGGCTAACACTGAATAGCGTATTTGTTTTGATTTTTAAAAATGTATCTTGTAGCTTTTAACAACTGGATGGTTACATTATTGCTCAAGACCAAGAAAACAAGATTGATAAATCTGGTTTTGTTGTCCAGCTTAAGTGAAGTGCAACACAGGAAGTGACAATGTTGCTGAAAAACAGAACAGATTCTTTCAAATCTTTTTTGGTTGCAGTGACTAAGAGCAAGGCAGATAAAAAATTCAGGGTTGGAGGGAGTTTCTTCCAGTGCTCTCCTTCAGCTTTTGAGGAGCTGAAGAAACTCTGCTTGACTGCTGCCAAGAATTGACTTGTAAAAACTTTTCCTTTTATCATGTCTAAGTTCTTGCACCTGTTGATAGGAATTTTCAGTTGTGAGACTGAGTAAATTTCCTGTGGATTGCAGGATTCAGGCACTTTGGACATCCGTGGGATGAGCCAGGTTCTGCCCACACACCTCATGGAGGAGAGGTTGATACGGCAGCAGCAGGAGATGGAGGAGGATCAGCGCTGGCTCGAAAAAGAAGAACGATTCCTGGTAATTCTTTGTTTCACAGAGCTTCTTAATTCCTTCTGATTCTTGGGGTTTGTATTGCAGCTGCTTAAAACTGGTCACTTCTGTGAAATGAAAAAATTTACAGGACACAGGACCCCCAAAATGTGGGTTTGGAAACAGGTTTTAAAATAAGTGTTGGGCTAGTGAGAACTGTATTTCAGATCTCTTGAACAGCTGTGGCTTTTGGTGAATCTCATTTTATCCAGTTGAGTGTTTGTGTGGGGGAAGTTGTGGGTACAATTCTGTGCCCATCTTGAGGTTGCCTGTTTGTTCTTACACAGAAGGATCTGTGTGTACTCTACCCCTAAAAAAGGTGTAACCATCTAAGAGTTGTGGCTGTGCTAGGAGTTGTACCCAGCCTTGCCCTGGAGGAATAATGGCACATGTTAGTGGGTAGAAATAATAGAAGAGAGAGCTCTGTGAGTGGGGAAAAGCTCTGAACCTCACCACGAGCAGGAAGAAGAAATCATTGGTAATGGGATGTTCTGATGGTGTTTCTCTGCACTTCCACAGAGAATTGTTGTCAGTGCCACTGGTGGATGTTTTTTTGGTTCAGCTCTGGCTTCCCAGTTGTCAAAATTCAAGCTGAGTGTTACATTTCTCCTGCTTGAGGCTGATGGCTGCAGATGGAGTAGAAGGTGGGAGTAGAATGTCACCAGGAGCCTGTGGGTGCCTGATGCTCACAGGACAAGGGATAATTTACAGTGCTGTGGGTGGGTTGTGACACACAGCAGCCCTGTGCTTGACCTTAGGCATATTTCAGGGAATGTTTCAGTTTGGAAATCTCCTGTGTTGGAGCTGCTGGTAGATGCTCCCATGTCCAGGACATGTTCTAGCTGAGATCCACATTGTGCCTGAGCTAAGAAGTGACTTTTGATTAATGGGTGTTGAAACTGGTTTCCTTCTAAGTCCATTTTGGGAATTTGCAGTTTCCCATTGGGATGACAGCAAACAAACCCCTGTGCCCAGATTGCTTGGTCTGAAGAGAGGGAGGGGAAAGGAAAATTTCTTCCCTAATTTAGGCATTAGCTTTTCCAGTCTTGTGTGGCACCACTTGCTGGTGACCTACACAACCCAGGAGGTCAAACTCATCCCTGACAGTTAAAACTTTAAAGATGGTAAAGAACTTTTTGTGGAATCAGCTTTCTGGGAATGGGGCATTGACATCGCAGGGGTGGCAGTAGGTTGTGTGGGAACTTTCTGCAGAAAACTTTCTGATTTTTTGTGTAGAATAAAGGATGATTATTTGTATTGTTTGTTGACTCAGTCTCTGGACCATTAGGGTGTTTATCATCCCCCAAATTGACATTGAGAAGGAACTTGCTGATTTTCCTTTTTATCTGTAATACACTCATAGCATCTGTTTGGGAGAGATTTGCTGTGTTTCCATTTTGTGTTGGGTTTATTGTGGAGAAACACCATCTCTCTTGCATCTATTCTGTTAAGGAATTGGAATCCATAAGAGATTTCAATTCTTTTTTTTTTCCACATTAACATTTTGACTGTACAGACTTTGAGGTTCACCCTTGGATGCCTATTACAAATTTATAATACCCCATGTCAGGAGCTAAATGAGTTGCTGGTAGCCACAGGGTGCCTTTGAGCCCATAGCAGGATGTGTGTAAGGAGGATATTCAGTTTATAGATGGGTGTTTCTTGGAAAAGGAATGTGGGTGAGTTTCTAGATTTAGCCCTGAGGAAGTGAAGATGTGGAAAAGTCATAGTGGGGAGTCATTCTTGGAAGCCTTGCAGGTCTCCTGAAGATATCCACAGTTCAGACATGTGGGTCCAAACATGTGAAAATAAGTCATTTATTTAGGCATTAAGGCCATAAAATGGTGTCCAACATAGAAATAAGCCAGGTGTTACACACACATGCTCCTTGGCCAGTGTCCTCTAGTGAGTGACAACATTTCTGCCCTGGGAAGAAGGTCCTCCCTTATTTTCATTCCATGTGATTTAGGGAGAAGAAATCTGGCCCTCCCTTGCCTGCTTTAGACAGCTTTTAAATAATATTTGTCCTTTTCAGCACAGAGAACAACAGAGTAGAGTCAGATTTTAATATTTAACTTACTTAACTATAATATTTAACTTTTGTAACCATGTGTAGTGTTCTCAGTGTAAACTGTCTGCTTCCAAAAACAGCTCTATTTACCCAATCCTCAGGCTCTACAGCACATCCCACTTGTACTACTGAGAGTTGGACTCACAGGGGAGCAACTGCAAATGATTTATTGTAAGACACTGCAACAAGATGGCAAATCCTCTCTGGGTTTCTGTTGGTACAATTTTTGTTTCCCCAGAGTAACACCAACTTGCTCATGACTTGAAATTTATTGCTGCTTCTGCAGGGAGAAAATACAGCTCACAGCACATTGGTACAGGGATAAACAGCACTGATGCTGCTGGAGGGGACTCCCCAGATGGGGAATTCAGTGCAGTGGCATTGAAATGGAAATGTGCTGGTCTTTGGGGAGCTTGTTATCAGTGTAAGCAGTTTGCCTGAAACTGGTCCTTGGAGAACATGGGACTAGTTAGTACTTGAAAGGATAAAAATGTTCTTTTCAAGCTGCAGCCTTAACAGAATGCAGAATTCTGGAAATTCTGCTGTAAAAAGGGAAAACAAACAGGTCTCTCCTCATGGAAAGCTCCCAAATGAAAATAAATCCGTTGTGTAAAAACTGAAAAGTAAAGAAGTGTTTAGTTTTAAATTGTACCAAATAAATCCATTGGAGAGTGAGAAGAGAATTGGTGGAGGGGTTGATTTTGGGGCATCCAGGACTGACACCCCAGCCCCTGACAGGGAGGGGAGGCAGCACTTCAGCTCTGCCAGCTTTATGGACACTGATTAAAACTTTTGATCATTAAATTTTCATGCTCTATTGATAAAAGTGCTGTGGAGAGAATCATCTCCAGGAAGGACAGAAATAGGTGAATTATTTTGGAGAAAGCTGAACAGGAGACACAAAGCATTACTGCACCTAAAGCTTGATGCAGATCACTACAGGACACAGTCTCTGTCCAGGGCACCTTCAGGTAGAAGAGGAAATGGCTGCAGTACAAACAATCTAAAACCATCAAGAATTATCTCTGAACATTTCACACATCTCCTCTTTTAGACCTATTTAATTGCCTGCTCCTTCCTTTATTTGGAGTTCCCACTTTGAACCTTTCTTTCTGGCTGGGCTGATGTTATGTACATTATTTTTAATCAGATAAATAAAGATATATATGTGCATGCCTGTTAGTAACTCCTCAGCAGACAGAACAGTTTTATACTAAGAAATTTATGGTCTCTTCTGGGATAGCTTAAGAAGAAATAACTCACATATTTTCCTTATCATGCTTGGGTTCGTTGTTTTTTTTTTCTGAAATTCCCACATAGTTGTGGTTTTTGTCCTATTTTGACACTGAGAACTGCAATTCAAGTCTAATTGATGTGAACTGTTGCTAAAATAAGATTCTAATTTTAAGCCTGAGAAAATCCCACCAAGACATTACAACTCAGCATGTCCTGAGAACTCCAAGGCTTACATATTCTTTTATTAGCAAGGAACCAGAAATACTGGAAATAAAGTGGATTATGTCCCACTTTGTCAACATATACATCCTGTCTGAAAATTCCTCTTGACATTTCCAAAGATTTCAGATAGTAGGCTTATTTATTAAAAAAAAAAAATCCATTTACTTTTGAAGGGCTTTGGTTTCTGCAAGATTTTAACAACATACAGTTCTTTATCTCTGTGGTTTTTGGGAGGTCCAGAGCCATGGCAGGGACTGGGAAGATGGCAGGGTGTTCTTTGGGGCTGTGAAATGGTGTGGGAAGTACAGAACAGGTTTGGTGTGAGGCTGAGTGTTGACCTAGAGAATGTTGCATTAAACAGCTGAAAGATCTCAGAATTAAAAATTCAGCAATGCTTTGCTGTTGTGGCAGCATAAGGGGCTCAAAACTCTTCCAGCTGCAGAAGTGGAAGAATTGCTGCTGAATAATATTTTAAAATATAATGGGAGTTTGATCATCAAAATCACCTTTACTGTAAAATAATGTGCCTTCTGACATTTCCACATCTACACAAGAGAATAAACCAGAAAATCATTTAGTCAAATGGGAGTTGTTAGAACTTATTAGAACATTAAAATCAGTAAATATATAATTGGGACTTTTCTCAGTCATTGGACACAAAAGTTGAACATTTCTCTTTTGTTCCATGTGTTCTTGACCACCCAGGTGTTGATGGAGCAGAGGAGAATGTTTGTGGAAGTTGAAAGAAGTTTAAGTCCTGCTAAAGGATTTTTTCCTGATTTCTGAGGTGTAGCTGCTCAGGGTCCCTCAGCTTTGCCATCACCCCCTGGCACTTGGGATCTGCAGGTTGGGATCAGGTTCTTGGAGGTGCCAGGGCAGCACCCCTGCCCTCACAGCCTTGTTTGGGTGGGGGCCAAGTTAATAATCACCATTTTTGTGATATTTGCTGAGCATTTGCAGCTTTTCTGTGCAGCAGTTCCTGGGCTGTCCAAGATGGGGTGTCCTGGGGGGAACTCAACATTCTGCACGTTGGCTGCTGGTGGAGACTTGGGGAATGGAAGTGTTGCTGTGACTTGGAGCCTTTGGATGCTGGAAGGAGGGACCTTCTTAGCAAGACAAGCAGAGGAGATGGGTTTTGTGTCTGCTAATTTCAGTTTTTGCTTATACTACTAGGAAAAAAAGTCCTGTTACTTGGACTAGTGGGCATTTTTATGCTTCTGACTCTTCTAAAATGCTCAATATTTCATTGTCTCTGGAGTCTGGTCTGAGGGATGTGTTCTGGATGGTCCAGGGGAAGGTGTCCCTGCCCATGGAAGGGGTTGGAATGAGAAGATCTTAAAGGTCCCTTCCAGCCCAAACCATTCTATGGTTTAAGGTGCATTTTTTGAGTAATAAATTGCTATAAATGCAAAGAGCATTAAAGACCCCTGTGATAAAACAGTCTTTGGTTATTTCCAAAGAGTTTGGGCACTTCCCTGGCTGGAAATGAACAGGAAACGATGGCAAATTGTGAGCATCAGTGTAATAGAAATGTAGTTTGTCATATGCTTTATATGGATATTTAACAAGGATAGCTGTTTGATTTAGCTGAAGAATACTATGAGAATCATGACTTTACCTGTCTAGGGAGGTTTCAGACATACTCATATCAAATGAGACTTCAATCAGAAAAAAATTCCTTTATCGTAATAAGGAAATAAACTGGAGATGAATCATGGTAGGTTTGATCTTGAAATTTGTCACAAATTCCTGGAACAACATGAGGAGACCACTTGTGTCTCAGTTCTTCATGTTTAAGAGGAGGTTAAATGTTTCCCTGTCTGATATGTTTTTCTATTTTTAATCTGCATGTTCTTTCAGGCAGTCACTCTCTCTGCCTGTGCCCCACTCAGTCTGCAGAAGACTGAATGAAAATCCCAAAGACAGACTGGCAGCACAACTGGACTATTTTTAATGACAGAAGATCAATATTAGTGTGTTTTTGCAGGTTCCTTCTGCCCTGCTGGTTTTTAGGGTCATTTAGTAGGATTTGTGAGTTGGAATTATTCTTTAGTATTCTTACAAGAGGAAGGAATCTCAAATAGCCTTAAAACAAGAAAAGGATGTATTTGTCCCCTGAAATTAACGTGGTCAGTTTAGTGGCACTGTGTTTAGTTACACCTACATTTCTCTAAATTAAAAAAATGGTATTTCCATATTATGTGTGACCATTTTATCCCTTGAGTTATCAGTGACTCCTCACCCAGTCTTGTAGGAGAGTCAGATAAATCCTGTTTTTAAGTGTCAGAATTGGTGCACAAGAAGCACACTGTAATTTTGCTGAGTTTGTGTCTTCAGATCAGTGTTAACTTTGGCTTCACATCCACTATTCCTTTGTCTTCCCATGTGATCAATGTTGTCCTTGAAGAATAAATAAAACATACCTGGATTTCCTGGGGACATAAGTGGGGTTTTCCTGTGCAGGGCCAGAAGTTGGACTTAGTGGTTGTTGTGAGTCCCTTCCAACTTAGGATATTCTGTGAGAAAAATGACTGGTTTATGTGTGGAAAAAAAAAAAGAAAAATTGTTGTGGTTTTATTTTTGCTTTTAGAAACAACCAAGCCCCAGATTCCTGTATTGTGCTGAAAACACATGAAATATAAATTTGTTTGTTGCCTGTATGGGAAGAAAAGGGCATCTGGATGGCTTTGTTGGCTGGCTGTATCCACATGGAGTGTTTAGAGAGCTCCAGTAATTGGCCCCATTTGCTTGCAGAGGGAGCCAAGTACATTTAAGCCATCCTGGGGCAGGAAGCGGGAATTAATGCGCAGCGTTTCTCATCCTGTGGTTGGAATTTTGCTGTTGGGAAGCAAGCTTTTTTTTCTTTTTTTTTTTCAGAAAAAAACACAACTTTTGCTGCCTTTGAGAAAACTAAAATGCAGATTTTCCAGTGTTGTGTCAGCTCAGTGGTACTTTGGATATTTATTAGAGCATTTTGACTCCTGTGCTGGGGGCGGCTGCAGGAGGAGCAGCCGAGGCTCCGGTGGCGGCAGCGGGGGCGCAGGGGCTGGAGTGAAATGACATCTGGATTTGTCAGTGTGCATTTTGAACAGCATCTTCCTGTCTTTCCACTGCCTCTAAGCCACGGGCACATCACTGGGTAAGCAGAGCACAGAGTGAATCCTTGGATTTCTGTTTCAGAAACCCGACATGAGGCACTCCAGAGGCAGCATTGACCGCGAGGACGGAGCTCTCCAGGGCCCTGTAAGTGTGGGGGATCTTTTCCTCTCCCAGCTCTTCCTCCAGTTTCCTGCTAGAACATGCTGTACACTGCCTTGGGGGTGGGAGATGATTTAAAGGTTTTGCTAAATGTTTCCACTGTTATTACATGGTGGTACAGCTTTCCAAGAGGCTCAGCTTCTGTGGGAACTGCAGCCACAGCAAAGTGGTTCATGCAGCAGTTTGGGGGATTTGGGGTCTGTTGGTTGTTTTGGTTTTTTCCCCTTGAAGCTGTTCTTGAAACAAATATTAAAATGTTTCCACAAATACGTTACAATAATTTCCAAGTGTTCATGTGCTGTAGATTTGGGCCTTTTATTTAAAAATGGGGATTGTTTTCTGCAAGTTCTGTCAACAGGAAGCAGGATTAAAGTAACTTTTGCAGTTGTTTAAATATCTGAAGGGTTTTCTCACAAGGAATGTAAATGTTGCTGTTGTATTACCCAGAAATCTGTTTGGGGTAAATGATCCACTATGAAACAATTGGAATAAACCCCACAGCCATTCCTTTATTCCCAGACAGCAGCTGCAGCTCGGGTGTTATTTCTTAGTGGCTTAATTCCTGTCTGTTTAATTTAATTAAAACCATTTTTTCAATTGTTGAATTGCCATTGGAATCTCTGGATCATACTGTTGGAAAAGGGGGATTAGGCTAGGCACTGTTAATGGCAGAAAAACCTGGTGCTTCACCCAGTGGAAAGCACTGGATATTTTAAACCCACCCTCCTGTTTCATTTGGGATGCAATTGTAAACTCCTGCTTTGGCTTCAGCTTCACTTTTTAAGAATTTATGGATTCTTCCTGCATTTGCAGCCAAGATAGTCATGAATGAGTGTATCAGTGACACACTGCAGCACAGTCTCTGGAGACATTCATGTCTGGAAGCTCCTAAGATTTTTTTCCATGAATTTGGAGAAGATTCTTAGTTAATGTTAGGCCTTGGCTGTTGTTACATCTTTATATAAGAGCAAGAAAAGTGTTGCTGCATTTTGTGCTGCTCGTGAAGATACTTTGAGATGCCCAGGAGATTTTCAGGTCATGCCACAGGTTACAGATTCCAAACTGTTTCCAGGGGAAGTCCTGGCTGCCCAGATGAGGTGGTCCAATATCATTCCCCATCTGAAAGAGTGTGAAGAAAACGCTTCATGGTCATGGACAAAATGGGTTTTAAAAGAGATTCTAATTCATGGTGACTGCATTTCTAGTCACAGAATTTGATCTTGTAGTTCTCAGTAGATTCAGAACATAACTCTGACTTCATTTGCAGTGGGAAATGCTTAATGCTGCTGTGAGTCAATTTGAGTTTCTGACTGAGGATGAGAAACTGGGCAGTGATAAAAATGAGAAGTCACCACCCACATTTTGGCAGTTCCTGTCTGATCACATTTTTTTGACCTGTACTTTCAATACACAATTTTATGGAAGTAAGATTGCAAGAATTGTTTTAGTGGGCTGCCATTCTTCTGCTTCTCTCTTGGTCTCTTTCTTTGCCCCTGGGGTTATCAGATTTGAAGTATTTAGGTTAACAGCACAAATAAAAGGTAATGATGTGACTGAATGCCTCTATTTCATGTCCCTATTTTTGAGGTGACCAACTTCAAAGAGCAACAGACCAGTGTCATTTCTGGTTCTCCTATTGTTGTTGGCATTTTTTAAAAGCCTTCTTGTGGTGCTGTCCCACTGAAACTGCAGTCAAGCTTTGTCAGCACCGATTCTCTCCCTGCAGTGGCACAAACAGCATCTCTGTAGAGATGCCACCTGTCCCTGTTTCCAAAGTCTGTACATTTCCTTTGTCCACCTGAGTTCTAGAAGATCCCTGCCCTGCCAGGCCCTTTTCTGCCCTGCTTGCTTGATTTCCAGCACTGTGGAATTGTCTGCCTCTGTGCTCTTTAAAGATTGCTCTTAAAAACCACCTGACATCCATGGACTCCAGTTCTTTCAAAAGCAGATTCCCAGGGGACCTCGCTATTTCCTGGAAAGCACCCAAAGTCCACTCCCTCCATAGCCAAGGTTTTGCTGGAATTTTTTCTCCTGTCTCCAACAATTTGAAGCTCAACTCCTTTGTGGTGGCCATGACTAAGGCAGCCACTGCTCAGCACTTGGCCCATGAGTCCCTCTCTGTTTACAAACAGCAATTCCAGGAATCACTTTCCCAGTGTTCCTTAATACCTGCACCAAGAAGTTACTTTCACAGGAATTTCTTGGACCTCTTTGTGTCCACTGTTTGATATTCCCAGTTGAATTTTGAGAAGTTAAAATCACCCCTGAGGGCCAGGGCAGTTGACAGAGATATTCCTTAATACTGTGCTGACTCTTGGGCTGCTCACAGTGGTGATGAGGTTGGTGTGAAGGATGGATGAATGCCATTACCAGGGAAAGTCACTTCAGTCTGTTACTAAATTCTTCCAAGTGGATGAGCAAATGGGCCTTGAGTAAGAGCTTTGCAACAAACCAAAAAGCAAACCAGTTTTAAAGTGTGCTCCCATTACAGAACCATTCAGCAGGAAGTTCTGCAGTTTCTCTGTTGTGTTGTCATTTCTCCTTCACCACCATGACCTCTAAGTTGGATCTGTGGACAGACTGAAAATGCCTGTGACTCTCTCACCACCTTTGAGTAATAAGGATGAACTGCAATGTTGAGGCCAGGGCTGTTGTGAGCAGTACAAAATACATGCAAATTCTCTTATTGCTCTGTAAGAGACCTGTAGTGAGGGACTGATGATGGTGAATTGGGATGTATTTTCAGCTGGTGGGAAATGTGCTGAGAGCTGGCTGCTCTTGGTGTTTGAGATTGAGATTGAGAGTGCTGATGAGAGCTGCAAGCACTGCAATAACTATTTAATATGTTTATTTTATTTTATTTTATTTTTTAGGCTGGTAACCAGCACATATATCAGCCTGTGGGAAAACCAGGTAAGCAGTAAATGCAGATGGTGACATTGTGAGTATTTTATTACAAGTCTTGTAGCAGCAGTAGTGAACCAAAGTTCATGGCAGTATTTCCATACAGAGTGGGTTCAGTTCCAGGTACTACACATAGATCTTTGTATGCTGTGTGTTCAGGCCCCAGACATGCAATCAGCAAAGCCAAGGAAGTGTTTAGATCAACAAGCAGGAAATGTCTAGAGCAAGCTGAGTCAGAGTGGGAATTCACCCAGGGTGGAGTTCAGACATGTAAAACAGCAGTAGACACCTAAAATTGGGTTTCTCAGTCTCAAAAGTGAATCACCCAGTTTGCTGCTGGGAAGAAATCCAGTTTCCCAGATTCACACAGCATATGGGACCAGGGATGACACCATCTCAGGGCTGGGGTAGCTGTGCCCAGAGCAGCAGCAGTTACCCCACAAAAGGAGTTTCAGGTATTTAACTAAAACAATCCTGCTCTCATAAAGTGCAGCTCCCACAAACAGTGCATTTACTGCAGGACACCTAAAGATCTCCCATCTGTGGCAGAGAAGAGCACATGCAGCCTGTGCAGGGCAGAGCAGGAGGGTGCCAGGTGCCTCTGACACCTTGCTGCTCTAAAATCACCATTTTTTTGTTGAGCAGATCACGCGGCTCCGCCAAAGAAGCCCCCGCGCCCCGGAGCCCCCGGGCACCTGGGCAGCCTGGCCAGCCTCAACAGCCCCGTGGACAGCTACAACGAGGGTGTGAAGGTAGGGGAACCCCCAGAAAATGGAACAATACCAGGGCTGCTTTATTCATGTTTATTCAGTGAAATAGCCCCAGCAAATCAAATGTGACAGCTCTGAGGTAGTTTGGTGTTCCTGAAGTAGAGAGCATGAAAAGCAAAGGGGGCCAAACCTCATGAGTAAATAATGTCATGGGGCAAACACAGCCTGGCAGCTCTCCAGGGGGGTGAGGGGGAACTCAGGTTCTCCCTGGCTGTGATTTAGTGTGCTCCTCAGCTAGAACCTTTCCAGCTGAGCTTATTTCTAGTTTGGAATGATGAGGTGTCCCAAATGGACCCAGCTCCCTGTTGAGCAGGATGGAGCGTGCCCAGGGATCCCAGCAACTCAGATGGTACCAAAGTCTCCTGTCCTTGGTTACAGGAGGTGAGACCTCTCCTGCAGTGCTCAAAAAGCTCTTTCTGCAGCACCAGGGCTCCTCAAACCCTACCAGCACTGGGGAACAAGGGAAGAGGGGAAATGGGCTGGCTGACCTGGGAGTGAGATACTTCCTGATGTGTTGTTTCATTTCCCATAAATAGCAATAAAGCCAAAACTGAAACTTGACAGTGGTTTTGTAGCAGAGATGCTGCTGCAGGGTGCAGTGTCCTGCCCCTGCTGCAACTGGTGTCCACAGAACAGCTCCTAAGGATGTCAGGCACTCCCAAAATCATCCCTTAGTGTGCTGTTTCCTGCCTGTGGGACTCTGCCACCTTTCTAATCTCCAGGAAACAGCCCTGCCAGGCCTGTAGTAAAGAACAGGAATCCATGGTGTGATGGCCACAGCAGTTGGGATGAGTGACACTTATTTTAGGTGATTTAAGGAAATACAGAAAAAGCCCAGTTCATCTGAACATGAAATTCAGAACTGCCATCAGAGCAGTGTGTTTAGCCACTGCCAGCCTGTCTCACTCCTGCTCGTGTTCTGGGATTATTGGAATGTTTAAGAATCAGTGTAAATAGCCAGCAGTGGTGAATTTGAGCAGGATTATTTCTCATAAACTGATGCCAGTGCTTTACGAGCTGCCAAGCCTCAGTAAACGTCAAAAAGCAGTAACAGATGTGTTCCTAAACTCAGCTTCTCTAAAATTTCCTTTCTAAATGCTGATGCTGGAACATGAAAAAATGTTTTTGAAATACAGACTTCTGACAACAAACAAACCTGAGCAGTCAGAGACATCAGTAGTGACAAGTGAACAGGATTTGTGTACTAAATAGCTCTTTGAGTAGGAAAGAAGGGCTGATTTTTTTTCTTCTGTCAAAATTTTCTTGGAATTGGATTGTTTTATGCCCCTTGAAGAAAACAGCCCATTACTTTTTGGCATAGCTTTGTTAATGGTTGCAGTCCTAAACTGAAGATGCTTCTGGGGTTCATTTTGGACTCCTTTTTCTCTACACCCAGTTCAGACTCCCTTTTCAGGGAGAGCACAGATGAAGAGGATTGGAATTTCCTGCCCTTGGGAGCCTTCAGGGTAGGCTCCAGAGACCTCCTGGGTGAGGCAGAGTCAGCCAGTTCCACAAAGAAACTCAAAATTCTGCAAAATAGTGGTGTTGATATTGGGGATAAACAAAGAGAAACCAAGGGCTGAGAAACACAATGTCCATAGTCTTGAAAGGTTTGGGTCTGGAGTTCCAAGGGTTGGGAATCATCTGGAATGGGTTCTTGGTAGTTCCTGGCCGTGGCTGTGATGAGTTCTTGTGAACAAGTCCTGCACACTTAAATCACCATGTATTTCCCATCATGACTTACCTAAACAAAACATTCCAGAAAGATGAATATAAAATTTTCCTGAATGCATTGAGTCCTGGAGTGTTTGTGCAGAGGGACCAGCAGTGTTCCCAGGACAGGTTTCCCAGGCCCTTGCTCCACTCAGCACTGTGCTGCTGGCCACACTGGCTTGCTCCTGTCCAGCTTTGCATGATCTGCTGCCCGTGTGTTGAGTCAGGAGGAAGCATGGGGTGCATGGCAAACCCTTCCACTGCCCACAGGGGTGCACAGCAGCTCTTCTGTCACACAGGGCCCAGAGCTAACACGGGTGGCTGCCGGTTCTGGTGAGGATGCGTTTTCGTTGCAGGCTTTTTAACTGATCTCTGATTGCTACACATGTTTTGGGTTTGTTTGGTTTTTTTTTTTTTTTTTCCTGCTGAGTTTTATTAATATTGTTTTTCTTTTTTTCCCTTCTTTTGGTAAATTTCTTTAACCTCCCCCCACATTCTGCTCAACCATAGCCATGGAGGGTAAGCAGTGCGTGAGCGTGTGTGTACGTGCCCTATTCCAAAATGTCTTTGCATGTGACTTTGCCAAATGACTGTTTTAACTTCTTGATTGCTGAAACTGATTCGAATCACAGCCTTTCCCTGCTGATTGAAGCAATTAGAGTGTTCTTTTTCCTAAGGTATTTTCTGATCAATGCACGAGATTGAATCTCTGTGGTAGCTGTTGGTATCCACTTAATGAAATGCTATAAAATGGAATCACCTTGTACTGAATCCTGCACTCCTTCCTTAGAGAAAGTCTCATCAAAGCATTCCACGGTTTCCTCAGGGCAGTGGATCAGGGGCTTGCAGTGAAACTTTTCTGGAGCTGGGACCAGTCCTGAGAGCCAGCAGTAACCCAGTGTAGGGAGCTCTCCAGTGTAGGGAGCTGAAGTGCCATGAGCCATCTCAGATCCAGGAGGAAATCAGGAATTTTTTAACTTTCTACTTACATTGAGTTGTTGCTTGGGCATCCTGTTGTAGGGAATAGCTGCAGGAAACTGGGATGCTTGGTAGTTTTACAGTTCTGAGATACTGAGAACCTTACAAAGGATGTTTGCAAAGTTTGTTTCATTTCAGACCTGAGATTATTTCAGTCTGTTTTGGATTTAACTCCAGACATACTGGACTTGTTGGAAGTTTTACCTGATTAAAGACCAGAGGATTTTTAACTTAGGAGGTTTTTTCTGATCTCTTGGAAATCAACTGTCTAAAAGCATTCCATGTTTCCCAGCTGTACTGGTGACACCATTTTTGTTAACCCGCTGTTAGATTTTCACTAACAAAAGAATAATGTCATAGAATCATGGAATAGTTTGGCTTGGAAGGATGATCTCGTTCCAGTTCTCTTTTTAACATATCAGTTCCCTCTTTAACATACCAATATGTTACTGTGTGCTCTGAGATTATTTTGGAGCACAAAAATCCCTTCTGGAATGAGGGACCTGATACCGGTTGCCCTGGCAGTGGAACTTGAACCACTGAGACATGTACTCTCATGCCTCAAATTATTCCCTTCTCTGTTGAGTGTTACACTGGAAGCTCTTCAGGGAAAGCCTGGTAAAAGTTGCCCAGTGTCATTTCAGAGATCAGGTTCAGTCAGAAGAACTAAAAGAAACCTCGTTCATCCCGGAGCCAGCTCAGGGCAGCAGCGGGGCCGGGCGGGGCTGTGGGAACCCGGGGAGCCCGAGCCCTTCCCGGCTGGGAGGTGGCCGAGCCCCATCTGCTGGGGACGGGAGGTCCAGCAGCCGCTCTGTGCTTGCAGATTCAGCCGCAGGAGATCAGCCCTCCCCCCACGGCCAACCTGGACCGCTCCAATGACAAAGTCTACGAGAACGTCACGGGGCTGGTGAAGGCGGTGATAGAAATGTCCAGTAAGATCCAGCCGGCCCCGCCCGAGGAGTATGTGCCCATGGTGAAGGTATGGGGGCTGTGCCTAAACTTGGGGTGTATTCCTACCCTGAATGAAGTCTTCAAGTGCTGTAGGAGAAATCTTCTGGAAAGCTGGAAGTAGAAAAGCTGTTTGTGTTCATGTGTTCAGAGGCTGGAGCTTTGGATTCCATGCCCAGTATTGTGGACAGCACTGCTTCATGCCCAGCTTGTTTGTGCTTATCCAGGGTCCTGAGTAGTGTGCTGTCTCCTCCACATTTTCACTTTTTATGAGAAAAACTTGTTCTTAAGCCTTTGGCATCTTGTTTTGATGGTGATAGACACAATTGCAGGTGGGTTTGTGAAGTGCCTTAGCCATGTTCCAACTCTTTCCTTATCCATATGAGCAATTAAATATATCCACTGCCTCCTGCACTCCTAAAATTCTCTCATCCATTTTTTCCAAGTCTTTGAAGTTTATTTCTTTAATCTTTTTTTCTTAGGAGGTTGGTCTGGCACTAAGAACTTTACTGGCAACAGTAGATGAGACCCTCCCAATGCTCCCTGCAAGCACCCACAGAGAGGTACGTGGAGCTCTGCTTACCTGCTGCTCAGCCACTGCCTTCCCAGTCTGGGACAGGTTTTGGTGCTCCCTTCATGGCACAGGCACACCTTTTGGTTCCCTGAGCAGTCTGAACTCCTGGGTTATAATTCTCCATTAACTGAATTTCATTAAAAATGCTGCATGAACTTAGGCTTGGTATTAGTGAGGATTCTTAAACTGGATATAGGTGTCACCTATAGGAAGGTGACATAAACCCCAGTATTCCACAGCAGGGAATCAGCTCAGGGTTAATTCTTAGTGCAGATGTCACCTGTCATTTGCTTGCACACCAAATCATTGAACAGGTAATTGAGCAGAGCTTGGTACAGCTGGAAGGTTGGCTGTAGTTCTGGATGAGGAGTGACTGAGAGCTTTCAATGAAGTTCATAATTAAAACAGTTTTCCTCCAAAACCTTGAATGAGTGTGGTACTGAGAAAGCCAAGGAATGGTTCTGTAAGTGCCATCTCAGAGGTTCATGCTGACTTAGCTGTGTGCTTAAGTAACCTGTATCTGCCTTCTTGTTTCATTTTTTAGAGCCGCTTCTATGCTTTAGAGCTGCTTCAGTAGTAAAAAGAGTAAAGCTACAAGAACCTGAAAACCCATTACAAGCTGTTAATGCCAAGTTGTGGTTTAAAATCCACTGCTTGGGTCTTGGTGCTGTTTAGCAGTGGGTGGCTCAGCAGGTGCCAAATTCCATCTGCTGCTCCCCGTGGTGTTTCAGAAACAGCCCAGCTTCAGTCAGGGATCAGCAGGGGCTGTAGCTCTGTGGAATTGCTGTGAGTGCAGGGTTTCAAACCCCCAGGGCTGATGGGCTTGTCTCGTTGCAGATTGAGATGGCGCAGAAGCTGCTGAACTCGGACCTGGCCGAGCTCATCAACAAGATGAAGCTGGCCCAGCAGTACGTCATGACCAGCCTGCAGCAGGAGTACAAGAAGCAAATGCTGACGGCTGCTCACGCCCTGGCTGTGGATGCCAAGAACCTGCTGGATGTTATTGATCAAGCCAGACTGAAAATCAGCCAGTCCAGACCGCACTAAGCACTGAGGGAAGAGCATCATCAGCCTCGGAATTCTGCTCGCCACAGGATGTTCCTTCACCTTCCACCAGCAGTGAGGATTCACCCAGCGCAGTCCTGGCCGCCCCCTGGGGTTCTCTCATTGCAACAGTTGAACCGAGTGGCTCTGGTGGGGCCGGGCTGGGGTTCGGGCCGTGGCGTTATCAGCAGCTGAGGTTTGTAGAGCAGCCCTCGGGGCACGGGGCAGGTCACTCCATCGCATGGGCCGCGCTTCGCACTGAGCTGCCACCATTGAGCTGCCACCGGGCCACGGCCTCGGAGCCAAAACTGTTGGAGCAGCAGATGGGAGAAAGATATTGTGAAGTGAAGAATTCGGGGAAACCTCAGGGCTGAGAATTCTTGCCCACAGTATATGAACTATCCAGACTGGAATTTTTTTTATTAGAACACTTACGTCGCAATATGCTAATCACGATTTACAGAGAAAGAATAAAAAGCTATATTTTCAAGACTTCAGTCATTTCAAGACAAACTAAAGCCCTCTTCATCTTCCTGCCTTTTACTTTTACGTGACTGTGTGAAGCATTTGTTTGGAACTAGCTGTAGGACACAACTGAACACTCGTCTTTTTCACCAGGATAACGTGCCAGTTCTTTTGTAGCAATGTTGTTTTCCTTGGAAGTGAAAATGCTGCTTTGTACCAGAGCAATTCAGAGCTGCATTTAGGAGATCTGTAACCATTCATGTTCCCCATTTTTATATAATTTATAAAGACAGATTAAAGCCATGATGACTATTTTAAACCCACTGTAGTTAACTAACCCATCCTTTTGTCTATCTTGCCTGGGAGGAGTTACAGTAGAGCAGTGTAATTAGATTTTCCTTGGTTTTCCAGTTATGCCATCTGTTCTGTTAAAATAAAAACCACACTCCCTTTTTGCTGTTGAGGGATATAAATTATTCTCAGGAAGAATATAATGAACTGTACAGTTACTTTGACCTATTAAAAAGGTGTTACCAGTGAAACTCTGACTCTTTATTTCATGTGTGTGCACTGCAAAAGAATTCTTTTCTGGGTACCTGTGTCTTTTTAAAAATGAGTTGATAATACAAATACCTGTAAAAGGCGGAGAGTCCATCAGTGTTTGTGGACCAACTTTGGGATACCCTCTCATACACCTGAAATTTTCTAATGCCCACTTGGAACACAGCCCTTACCTTGTTCAACTGCTCTGCAAAACTCCTGTTCAGAAGTTATTTATGAAATTCATGCCTTTTAAGTAGCTCTTTTCCAGTGCAGTGTGACATCACCTCCCACACCTACCCTCCACACGTTTTCTGGCCAGGTAAATACATTCTGTACCTTCCACAACCTCAGCCCTTCACCTGAGCATTGCAGCCTTTTCCCCACTGTGAAAAGCCTCTGGCCTTGCTGTGCCACAGCTGCCCCTGCACAGGTTCCACAGGAGCTGCAGCGCTGCTGTAACCAGAGGTGTCACAGCAGCAGAGGCTGCAGCAGCAGCCCAGCCTCAGCCTTTCTGCTGAGCAGGTCCCCAGCCTGCAGCTCTGGGCTGTTACCACACCCCTGCTCACTGTGATTTCATTCCCTGCTCTGTCCAGAAGCCATGGGTACCTTTTAGAGCTTTAACTGTTCTTGTGAAACACCAAAAAACTGGCAGGGGAAGTTGTAAAGTGCCAGCTGAGCACTCATGACAGCAGTTAAAGGGAGTTGGAAGTAACCTGGCCACCCTCCACAAACATCCACCTGAGAGACATGAGTACAAGCAGATGTTCTTTATTACAGGCTGGTACAAAACTAATTAGTCAAAAAGACCAAAGCCCATGTCATCATCAGATTCCTCTGATTCTTCCTTCTTTTCCTCTTCTTTCTTCTCTTCAGCTGGAAAAGACACAGGATTTATTTTCCAATTTATCAGCTCATAGAAGTCAGTTGTCACAAAAAGTGTCACATGCAATGACATCAAGCATGAATCCCTAGCAGTCTTAACAACCTAAGCCAGCAGCCCAAGAATAGTGTTTGTACTATCGGCAAAGTGGTTTTGTACATTCAGAATTCATTTCTATCAAACCTGAAAAACTTTACGAGGAGATGCTATGCTCTGCACGATGCTGATGACACAGGAAGAGCAGTCTAAATTCTGAGGGAACACTAATCCTGTACACTGACTTCATGTGCAATGCCTCCTTTCTCAAGGGGAGGGCGTGCTTTGCTCCAGAACACTCACACACATGGCGGAAACCACATGCGAACAGCTCCTGAAGTGGTGCTTGCTAAGCTGTGTCTGCCCCATCCCTGGAAGTGTTGGATGGGGCTCTGAACAGCTCAATCTAGAGGACCGTGTCCCTGCCCACGGCAGGAGGTTGCAAAGAGATGGCCTTAAAGCTCTTCCTAACTCAAGCCATTCCATGGATCCACGGATCTACGTTCCCGCGCCTCGGTCGGACGCGGCCGCCACTTACCGGGGGCGGCTCCGCCGGCGGGCGCGGCACCACCCGCGGGAGCGGCGGCAGCCGGAGCCCCTCCACCACCCGCTCCCACGTTACAGATCAGGCTCCCGATGTCAATGTTCGCCAGCGCCTGCGGAAAACGACAAGCGGCAGCGAAGCCCGGTTAACACGGGCGGGAGGTGCGCTGGGGAGCCCCACACGCCGCCCCCGCCCGGCCCGCGGCCCCTCTCGCCCACCTTGGCGAAGAGCCCCGGCCAGAAAGGCTCCACGTTCACTCCGGCTGCCTTGATGAGCGCGTTGATCTTGTCCTCCTGCAACGAGACAGCGGCGCTCAGAGCCCGCCCGGCCCGGCCCGGCGCGGCCCTTCAGGCAGCCATGCCGCGCGGCCGCCGCCATCTTGTGCGGCCGCACTCACCGTCACGGTGACCTCGTCGTCGTGCAGGATGAGGGCGGAGTAGATGCAGGCGAGCTCGGAGACGGAGGCCATGGCGGGGCGCGGTGCTGGTCGCCGGGTGGTTCGGCCTTAGCTTCGTACGAAGGACTCAGCACCTTGGGCCGCCGCGGAGCGAAAGGGGCCGGGCAACGGGGCGCGGATTTATAATGGCGGTGCGCGTTGCGTCATCGGTGACGTCAGCCCGTGACCCTCCGCGCATGGCAGGTGCCCGCGCGCTCTCCCTCCTCCGTCCCTCAGGGCCCTCACGGGGAATAATGCACAGAACAGCGCCGGGTCCGGCCGCTCCCCCAGCACTGCCAGCCCCAGCCGTGCCCCAGGTGCCACATCCCCACGGCTTTTGCATCCCTGCAGGGATGCGGACCCCTCCACTGCCCTGGGGGAAAACTCTGCTGAGGCCGTTTTCCCAGGATCCAAACTAAAGCTCCCTGGCACAGCTTGAGGGGCCCAAGCCTTCCTCCCCCACAGCTACCTCAGGTGTCACTGCCTCGCTAAAACACTCCTTTTTCTGTACGTAATAAAACGGGAAGAAAAGGTGCAGAATGAGCCCTTGGTACAGAATTGTGTATTGTGATTTTTTTCCACCCAAATATGAGCAAGAGCTTCTTTCCCGTGCAGTGACCAAGCACTGCACAGATTGGCCAGAGAGGGTGTGGGGTCTCCCTCACTGGAAATATTCCAGAGCTGTCTGCACACAATCCTGAGCCTGCGCTGGAGCAGGGAGGTGGCACCAGGTGACCCCACTGTGGTCCCTTCCAACCTCATCATTCTGTGGTTCTGGAATTCTGGGATTCTGATGAGCCTGAGCAAATTCCAGAGTTTTGCTCCAACAGCATCATTGGATTGTGAAAAATGAATGTTCTCTGGGTTTTATTTTGTGTCTTCTTGACAGATGTGTGTTTGATGAGCCTCAGCTCAGTGGCTGGGCAGATCACGGAACAGATTTCCAAGCTGTGCTGGGGCACTCCTGGAGGACATGGAGGGGATTTGGGAAAGCCACGGCTCCACCAAGGTCAAGTCCTGCTTGATCAACTGAGGGGCTTTCTATGATGGAGTGACTGTGAAAAACACTAATCACTTGTTTTTAAAATTTTAAAAGTTTAATAGTAATAAAATTGTTATAAAAATAGCATTATAATTAGAGTAATAATAATTTGGACAATTTGGATTAGGACAATATGAGACAATAGAAACAAAGAGTTATGGGTACATTTTTCTGAGCAGCACAAGCCCGAAAAAGGACACATGTTAACAGAGGATTAACCCTTAAAAACAACAGCCTGTTGCATACTCATACACCTCATACATGATGCATAAATTCCAGTCAAGCACAGGATTCTGTCTGGTCAGTGTCAGCTTCTTCCTCTTAATCCTGACAGTGTTGTCATGGCTGAGCATGGCAGGAAGAAGTTCATTTCTTCTGATAATGGGGCAATAAATTCTCTTTCTCTGAAAGATTCAGGTGTCCTGTAGCTACTATCTGGTGCGAGTACCTCATTCCTTTCTTAAAAAAAAATCTCACATACATAGTTCCCATTTTAACATTATGTTATAACCGAAACTATATTTAACACACTAGTTAAAACAATTAAAACAGCATAACTTTCTAACATAACACACATAATATTAATTTTAATATTTGCAAAAAGCCATTCATAAAATATGCATTTATCATGTGGATCTGATGTGCCTGAGCAAATTCCAGAGTTTTGCACCAACGGCATCATCTGATTGTGAAAAATGAATGTTCTCTGGGTTTTATTTTGTGTCTTCTTGACAGATGTGCATTTGATGAGCCTCACCTCAGTGGCTGGGCAGATCATGGAACAGATTTCCTAGAAGCTGTGCTGGAGGACATGGAGGGGATCTGGGACAGCCACAGCTCCATCAAGGTCTAGTCCTGCTTGATCAACCAAGGGGCCTTCTATGATGGAGTGACCACATGGAGTGGACATGGGAAGGTCTATGGATGTCACCTGTCTGGACTTCTATAAAGCCTTTAACACAGTCCCACACAGCATCCTTCTAATTGGAGAGGGATGGGTTTTATGGATGGACAGTTTGGTGGATGAGGAATTGGCTGGATGGTTACACCCACAGTGCAGTGATTGGCTCAGTGTCCAGAAGGAGATCAGTGATGTGTCCCCTAGCTCTGTTTGGCCCATTATGATTTAAAGTCTTCATCAGGGGGATCAGGTGCACCCTCAGCAGATTTGCAGATAACTCCAAGCTGAGTGGTGTGGCTGACATGCCTGAGGGACAGGATTCCATCCAGGCTGGTCAGGGCTCTGAACAACCTGATCCAGGTGAAGTTATTCCTGTGCACTGCAGTGGGGCTGGGCTATCTCACCTTCAAAGGTCCCTTCCAACCCGAACCAAATAAGTAAAATTATAAAAAATGCAAAAAGCTTGAAATTTTAGAATCCTAAAATGACAACTTTCTATTACCAGCAAAGTGTATCCAGCCTGCTTTTGTAGTGCTCCTTTATAGAAATCTCAGGATTTATTAGACCATTACAAGTGAAAACTGAGGTAGGCAAGAGGGACTTCACCTCTTGTATCCATCCCTTCCTAAGGATCACAAACAACTGAGAATTTCACTAAAGAAAGATCTAACACTACTCACTGCTGGAGATGATAAATGCACAGTGATGCAGTGCTTAATTTGTGGGTGTTTATCCCTATTAGTGGAGTCAACAGCTCTGAATTTAAGCATTTACTTAAACTTCCTATTCAAGGCACAGGACAATTTTCTACATTTTTATACCTAACTCAAAGCAGCAAATAAATGCACCTTTCCAGTGGGATTAAATATCCAGGAACCTCTGTCATTGCTGGGTGCTTGAGGATGGGTTTTCACTGGGACTTCACAGTGTGAGCCTCACTCCAGGGCTGCCAAGGTCTCCTGTGCAAAAGCCCTCAGAGCTGTCCCAGTGGTCCATGAGATGATGATCTGACTGAAAAGTAGCAGCAGAGAAATAAGATTCCTTTTCAATCAAATAAATTTGCAAATGTTGCTGGCCTGGGAGATGAGTACTGGAAGTGTGCAGGCAGTCAACAAAATTACATGTTTAATAAGACATGGTTTTGTAACAGTTCTGATATA